TTTGCATATTTAACAAGGATTTCATAGAGGGTCATGATGGACTATAAATGCACGTGGAAAAGACGTCGCCAGGTGACGTCCTCTCACCCGATACACTAAACATAACTACACGAGCTAAAAGTTAAAATAACAATTATACATGCAACTGTAGACATGTACAAATGTATCTGAATGCAATTTTAGGAAATGTTTTGTGTTACATTTTTTACCGATTTATGACGTCCTGGCCGCAACTATTTTTGGCCAGGGACACGACGTTGCCGTCGGACCAATGTTTGCTGGGTACATGCACTGCTCCTCTCCGCTGGGCGCTGGTAAGCGCGTCCTCCAGCTGTGAGCTGTCGGCATCGCGCGTTCATGTGTTTTGGGGGCGTGGTTTTGGAAGGAGCCCAGAATGGAGGGGGTGGAAGTGAATGGAGATAAGTAGCTGTGTTTATTACAGCCCTGAGAGGACTACAGACACTCGATTTTTATACTCTCTTTTCCAGAGTACTTATATTTTAATTATGCATTGATATATATAGAAAGTTTAAACAAATTTGGCAAAAAGTTTTTAAAAAAATTCCTACCTACAATACCTTTAAGGACGGGTGTTCCTCCTGTTCCCGGTTGTGTAACAGGTTGTCCTGCTCTTGTTAAACCACTCGAGGGCGTAAATGGACCATTATTTACTCTCTCCTGTTTTTGGCTGAAAGCTCTAAAACACTAAACACGAGGCTTCAGTGAATATGGTTTTTATTTATTAATTGTTTTTTATTAATAAATGTGTCATTCATTTATGTAATCAAATTGTTCAGCCATGGACATGACAATCAGCTAATAGGCTAACACATCCGGATAAATAAACAGAAAAATGTTTTAATTCTGAACTGAATGATCATGCAAGCATATTTTTTTTGTGTATGTTGATTTTACTGAAAAACTGGAATGTGCACTCTAGTGTTATTTGCAGTCATTACATTTAAAAACAGATTTTAACAACAAACACACAGTCACCAAAAATATGAAGTAGCCTATTTATGTTTTGTGTGATGATGGTGTTCATATGCACCACAAGACTGTAACTATGGAGTCAGATAATGCACTGATGAAGAGCACACATTAAGGCTTATTAAAGTGTGTGTGACGCAGCATGTCGGCCTTGACCTCACCCACAACACCCTTATCTGTGTAACGTCCAGCTAGACAGAAGGTCTCACTCTGAACACTTATCAGCTCTCACAGGTCAGGGTCTCGAAAGCTTTTTTCTCACCCACTTGAATCTAGTTATGGAAAGAATTTTAGAGTTCAATCTAGAGCAATCAGGAATATGTATGTTTTACCATACTAAGAAGAGTTCTGTGATTATGTAAAACAATGTGTGAATTTATTCATGATCATTAATCAGTAGCCTAGTAGAAAAAAGAAATATGGAAGCCAATGGGTGCCGTCAACTGTCTGGTTACCAACATTATTTAAAATATCTTCTTTTGTGTTCAACAGGAGAAAGAAACCCATGCAGGTTTGGAGCAACATGAGGGTGAGTAAATGATGACAGAATTTTCATTTTTAGGTGAACTAACCCTTTAAGGCAAAACCATTGGTTTTTCATTCACTGAGCTATTATGCTTCCATTACATGCTTCTTTTTATTACGCTTTGTAACGGATAAAAACATACATGAAAATTCCCCTCTGAAATCAACTCTATCTCTGAATAAATCAAGAACTTTGAACCTGGTTTTATCCCATGTTCAGATTTCTGTTCTGAGCATTTATTCAAATTACTGCATATTAATTATAATGCCTCCTTTGAATATTTTAACCTAACATTTTAGAAAACTTATAATACATACAAATTGTCTTATTATACTGTGATTCACACAAAAATTGCCATGTACTGTACCTGATATATCTTGCGAGTCCGAATCAAATGGTGAAATTTGTGTGAATACCCATGCAGCCCTAACCACTAATGAGAATATGTTTAGGATATCATATGCATGTATGTAACCACTAATGAGAATATGTTTAGGATATCATATGCATGTATGTAACAGATGGCTATGCAAAAATGACACAACCTTTTATCTTTTTTTATTGCAAGAGTGTGGCTTAAGATAAATAAGGCAACAAATGTTTCAAATGGAAAACATACAGCAAGAAACTCTTTAAACAGTTTTACAACATGTCCAATAAAGGTGCAACTTTAACTAAAGGCCATTTAGGGAACTAGTGACCTGCTTTCATTGGCACAAGGGCGCCCGGCCCGCGTGTGGGTTTCTGAAACGTAAGCCACCTCTGAAACAAAGAAATGAAGAAAAGACAGAGACAGCATAAGCAAATAATTAGCAGGCCTTGAAGAAAGACAGAAAAGAGAAACATGTCAGACGTGACGTGCAGATGAAAGAATCAGACGCAGGCGGTTAGTGTCATGCGTTTCCACAGCTGTGAAACACGTGGCTTTCCACAGCCATAACAGAAGCTGAAAGACACTACAAGTCAAGAAGAGACCTTGCATCAGTCCACAGACGCAGTGAAAAAGACTACAAGTGAATGAAACAAAGGAGAAATATACATGAGAAGTGAATCACAACGCAGCCTGTAAACAGTGTCCTGAAACAAGCGGCTAATGCACAAAAATGGATTCAACTTTAATATATCCATGCACGTCATTTGATGATCAATCTGCAATCGCCATCCATACCAATAAACATCACACTCTAACAATCACCTTCCAGTGTCAACAAAAAAAGTCTTTTTCAAATTATTAATACTCCTGACTGGGGAAAAACTGTAACTGTAGATGTGTTACTGTAAAATATAGAAGTACAGTATTACCCTGCACTCACACATTACATTATAGGTAGCAAATGACATCCAAAGAAACCACAGTAATAGTCCAGTGAATCAGATGAAGGGGTAAAAGTAGTGTTTCTGTGTTTTGCATGATTCATAATCTTTCATTTGAATATGGCTGGTTTTCCATAGTGTAAATTTGATCACTAACAAACATCCTGGTAAACAGAGGCACTTATACATGTGCATTTGGAACTGTTCAGTGGCTCTCCATGAGAACTATACAACTAAGCCTGAGAACAAAGTATAATGCATGCATATTTGCTCTTGTTGCATACAGGGATGCACAATACATCAGTGGTCATGTTGAAAATGTAAATGTGACTTTTTAATGTGATCTGTATCAGTCTACGTAAAATAAACAGATATATTTAAATGATAAATTTAGCCAAATGATATGGAGGCGTGGTTCCGCCACGGAATACAACAATTTAAAAGATCCTTTCTACTTTTTATCTCACTTTTCTTCTCAGATGTGTGAGATATAAAGTTGCAATTGCGTGTTATAAAGTCAGAATTGCGAAATTCTGACTTTATAACTCGCAACTGTGAGAAAAATAGTCCGAATTGTGAGATAAAAAGTAGCAATTATCTTTTTTATTTTATAAAATTATCATAGGACCCCTAATTAAAAATAAAATAATCAATATATATATATTTTTATTTCTTATTATTTTTAGGGCTGTCAAATGATTAATCATGATTAATCACATCCAAAATAAAAGTTTTTTTTACATAATATATGTGGGTGCACTGTGTATAATTATTTTGTATATATATAAATACACACACATGCATGTGTATTTAAGAAAAAAATATTATTTATATATAAAATATTTATATTTATATATAATATAAATTATATATAAATCTATATACAGTATATACATGAAAATATTTCTTAAATATATACAAGCATGTGTGTGTATTTATATATATAAAATAATTATACACAGTGCACCCACATATATTATGTAAAAAAAACTTTTATTTTGGGTGTGATTAATCACGATTAATCATTTGACAGCCCTAATTATTTTGTTATATATATATATATATATTGTATAATGTATTTATTCCAATGGATCATAGTAGGTCAATTTGTTAAAAGATTGTAAAAAAAAAAACAATAATCATTGTTTTGAAAAAAAAAAAGTGTTCTGTTGTTGCACTTGTTTTAAATCTGGATTTTTAAGGTGGCCATTTTTTTGTAATCAATCTCACAAAATGTAGTTTGATATGTAATATCAGCCAATATGTATATTTTGCTTCAAAATGTCCATATCGACGCATCCCTAGTTACATATACACAACACGTGTAAGAGCAAAGACAGTCTTTAAAGCTTAAAGTTAAACTTTAAGTTAATCTCTATGGGCAACATCTGTGAAATACTGTTTAACAGAGATAATAATTGCAAAAACCAAACAAATATTATATTTACAGTAATGCACTTTCAATGGAACTATATAGAACAAGATATTAAATTGTTTTGAATGTACAACCCATTATGTTAACTAGTGTGCTAAAACCGCATAAAATGTTTGATAGCTGGTTTGTTTTAAAGAATTACTATAAGCGGTTTGATAAAAACATACTGTATAAGTATGTACAGTATAAGTAATATCTTGTCCCCTAGACTTCCACTGTAATACAGATACTATTATCTGAAGGAAGAGTCGCAGTCATTTTCTGTGGTAATGGACATTTCACAGATGATGTCAATAGATTAGCTTGTGTTGAACCCGGCATTCCTTCACAGCTATGCAGTATGATTGATTTTCATAAGAAGTGTAAACATACGAGAAGAATGTGACTTCAACGTTTATGAATGGTTAACCGAGTGAACGAGACGGTGTTTGCAGCTTGATCAGTCAGGTTTTGTAAACTTGCAGTCAAGACAAAGAAAGTCCATTAATAATTAAAAGCAGAACGTCTCCTTTAATCGTGCTCATGAAGGCAGCTCACTCATTAAAGTGCTTAAAGTTCACTCCGTGTTTGACACTTTTTTCTCTTTTTACTCAATTTGCACACACTCCAAACCAAGCCGTTTAATTTCCACCCTCTGAATAAGTCGATGTGCCAACATCTCAAGTTCAGACCGTTTTGTTCATGAAAACGTCTCAAGGTTGTGTTTTTCAGTTCTGAACGAATGTCCACTTAAAGGGACGCGACGTTGCCTGATGACGTTTCTCTCACGCCGAGACCCAGTGGCCCACGTGTTCTTCCAGCCAGTGCTGTAGAGGCTGTAGATCGAGCGGTTCGGTCTCTGCGTACATCTGGACAAGCTGTTCGTGGAGAACGGCGAGCAGAGGCAGACTCACGCTGAGCAGCTCGTACAGAAAAGCGTAATCCCCAGCGTTATCCATCAGGTGAACACCTGCCGCCCACACTTTACCATGCAGCCAGTTAAACACACCACGGGGCACAGAACACACACACTGGCTCACGTGCAGCGGCCAACGCAGGCTTCTCCTCAGAGAGGACATGATACCTGGAGACTCGGCCTGAAGATGAGTCTCGCGTTCCTCTGGACTCCAGCTAGAGCGGTCGGGGGATCCGTTAGTACATGTCTGAGGGAGAAATATTAAGAGGGATGTACTGTAAGACAACTATTGAGGAATTACGAAACATATGACTGGCTGAAGTGTGTTTTTACCGTGTGGAGATTTTGTGATCTTCCATTCGTCACTAAGGATTTCCGTTGAGCAAAGTGGAGTTTGCAGTACAACTTTCCTATAGGAGGAGAAGAAACCGTTAGTGTAAACGTGTGGTCACATCCGACACTGCTCGGAGAAATTGTGCGGGTAAAATCGAGTCGGAATCTGCGTGTTCTGGAGTTTCGAAAAAGTTCAAATCCTAAAATAAATCTGTTCATCATATAAAGCGATCGAGTCTCTTCAGGAGATCTGGATTAAACCGCTCAATTAGGGCTGGACGATTAATCGAAAAATAATCGAAACCGAAATTCAGAGCCTATAACCGACGTAATTTTACCATGCCGGTTATTTCGTTTTTTTAATCCTATTAATATTTCCGCCCACTGTGTGTTAATGTACTTTCCCCTTAAAACATATTACCGCATCACGTAACTCCACCCCGTCCAGTCTCCGATATTGAAGCAACATGAGCCCCTTTCACACAGCGCGTTGATCCCCGGAAATTGCCAGAACAAAAACACCTTCAGTGTGAACGCAAACACGACCCGGGACTGATGCCAGGTTGGGGACATAGTAACATTGCCGTGTTCAGTCCCGGAACGCGCGCTGTGTGAACAAAAGCCGTAATCAATGCCGTGTCGTAATGATGGTGCTTAAGCCGGGATCGTTCGCCAGCATGAAACGGTACGTAATGCGCTAGTTTATGATCGAATCAGAGAAAAAAAAATGCACAAGCGTGGAGAGAGAGAGAAATCGCAGCTCACAAGCAAACTATAGACGCCGCTGAGATATGACACGTGTCTTTGCGGGTTGTGTGTGAACGCACTCTCTGATTCCGGAAAATCACTGGCAGTGTGAATGAACCAAAGTCAAATGAACCCGGGTCACTTTATCCGTGTATTTTCCGGAATCTCTGTGTGAAAGGGAACTCAAACACTGAGTCAACTCAGCAACAGGAGCCACTTGTACCAAAGAAACACGCGAAAAAAAGAGAGAGATTGACAAACACCCAGCAACAAGTGCCTCCACACTCCACAAAGCAGGTTTCGATAAGCATTTACAAATGCTACACATTATGAAAAGTAGGGATGGCCCGATACCGATACTGGCATCGGGGATCGGGTCGATACTGTCCTAATATACTCGTACTCGTACTCATAAAAATTCGCCGATACCACGCACCGATACCACATACATTTTGCAAAACGAAACTGGCCGCCGCGAGTGCTTTGTCGAGGTGAACTGAGGCATAGGAAAGTATAATGTCGGCGGTTTGGGCTCATTTCAAGATAAGGGGTGATGACAACAGCAAGGCAGACTGTGAGTTATGTTCAGCTAAGGTGTCGAGAGGAGGGAAAGAAAGTACATCGTTTAACACCAGCAATCTAATTAAACATCTGAAGACGCATCATCTGATGGCCGAGCGCGCGCGCGGGCGGTAATGCACTCACTCTGTGTGTGCGGTTTACGGGAGAATAAAACGATTCGCGGGACTCCCGCAAACTAGAAATATCTATGAATAAAACATAAAAACTAAAAGATTTTTATTCATCTCTTGCAGAAAAGCAACAACAAAATAGAAACGATTTACAGGACAGAGTTTCTATTCATAACATGGTTACAGCGTTGAGCGATGTAGCCAATCACAGACATATGTGTTGATTTCTTGAACGCAATGGCCAATCAGAAGCATTTAAGATAGACTACCCTCACCGCTCAAAACGGACTTTTTTGTTCAGTGCTGAATTCTGTATGCTGGCAAATCCTCTAATTATAACAAACAAAGTGTGGATATTATGAAAGATTGATTGTGCAGTCAGCTTCATTGATAATAACAGAGATGTGTGAGATCGCGAGGAACTGTCAGCTTTTAGGATTTATTAAGGGAGCGCACTTTGCGCGCATTCAGTCATGCCAGACCATGAACGCAGTAGCCTGCTTGCTTTTATGTTAAATTAACAGTGGTTTGTGTGTTAATACATTTATTATTTTACTCATTTTTATTTATTTTTAGACTTGTTAAAACAAGCAGAGAAGAAAAGAACCTTGTCTTCTAACCTGTGTTCTAAAATAGTCGTCTTCTTTTCTGGGAGCCTATTACTTTTGCGGTAGAAATATCGGTATCGGTCCTCGGTATCGGCAAGTACACAAATGTAAATACTCGTACTCGTATCGGTTTGAAAAAAAATGGTATCGGGCCATCCCTAATGAAAAGGATTGTTTTTTTGGTTTTATACAAGTTATATTTTACTTTTAAGTTGGCAATATTTACAATAATTTATTTTGTCTACAAAAAGAACTATTTTCTAAAAATTTTGGAAACTTTAAAGAAAAAAATATTAAAATAATCGTTCAATAATCGTAATCGAGGTAACTTGTTCGATTAATCGCGATTATGATTTTAGCCAAAATCGTCCAGCCCTACGCTCAATTCATATGGATTCGTTTTACGATTTTCCACTTTTTGAGGCGTCAAAGTGGTAGTTGCGTAGCTGTCAATGGAGGGACAGAAAACTCTCAGATTTCATCAAAAAGATTCCGAAGATGAACTTAAGTCTTACGGGAATGACATGAGAGTGAGTAATTAATGACAGAATTTTCCTTTTTACGTGAACTATCCCTTTAATAAACTTAGATGCCAACTAGCGTTTCTGATGTGGATCTCGTTGTGATTCTCCGTGTGATTATCACAAAGACCTGACCTATTTTTGCAACGTAAGAGACAAATGCTTGAATTTAAATGGATACAGTAAAGAGAGATTTTTTTTTTTTAATAATAAAAAATAAAATAAAGGGATACAGTAGTTCACCCCAAAATTAAATGGTTTTCACATCATCTGATGTCTGTTTGTTACACAAAGCTATCAAATGGTTTTAGAAGACTTGGAATATAGTACAGCTTCATGATTTTTTGTTTAAGAGAGAGATCACGACTCTCCCATGATTATGAATAGACTAAACAAAATAACATGTCTTACAAGAGGTTCTGACAAAATGTTAATTGTTGGAGTCTATTTAAAATATTTAACGAATATGAATTCCTTATTATTATCATTTTAACAATCGGTTTGAATGAATGATTCAATAGCCATGTTTCCATCCACTTGTCAATCGAATTATCTGAAGTTCGGTAAAAAACCTCATGTGAATAAAGCTGGTGAAAGTGTGTTTCCATCCAACGGCTTTAAAGCTTTAAAAACCTGTGCGTAATGACGTCACATGCTGTTTTGCGATCGAATTGGTATATCGAATTGATTTGAGACATGTTAAGGTGTTTCCATTCATTTTCTCACCGAATTTCACAACATTCAAGCCAACATTTGCGAACAAAGTTTTACTAGGCAAAATGGATCGCGCCATAATAACGTTTCCATCCGCGTTTATCGCATAAGCCGTATATCGATCAAGATAAAATCCGATGAGACCGATCGTATTTCATTTGAGTCGATATTCATGAAATTCAATCGAATTTTACTGTTTCCATAAGGCATTTTTCATTCGATATCACTTAATGCGGATAAAAACGTGTGGATGAAACATAGCTAATGACTCACTTATAAAGACTTCACTTGTTTCATCGCTGGATGAATCAGCATTTTTGAACAAATCTCTTGAACGAATGATACATTTGTAACAGTCACTTGACGCCACCTACTGGTGTAACTAATTGATAGTCTTTAATTGAAGCGTCAAGTCACTTTCAAAAGGTGATTTACTCGATTTTGATCACTACAGTAGACATCAGTGTTTATATCCGAACTATAAAGTTTCATCTCAGTACTCGGGTTTGAGCGACATGACAGTGAGTAAATGATGATTTCATGTTCATTCAGTACCTTCCACCGAATCGAAGGAATGTCCTCCCTGGCGCAGCGGAGCTCTGCATGTGTCGCAGCGGAAGCATTCCCTGTGGAAGTGGAATCCCTCAGCGCTGAGCCTCTCCACTACAAACACACGCTTCTTACACGCGTGACACACATCACCCAGACTCTGAGGAAATTCTCTTTTTAAGGAAGGCTAGGGGATACAAAAAAAAAAGACAAAATCTGGTCAAGATAGTGTGAATTAAAGTATGCTGAAAATAACCCTGAGACTAAACATCCAGACTGTGGAAGGGGTCATACTTAGGCTATGTTTACACGTAAACGATCTGAAGAGAAAACGCAAAAGTGGCGTTGCGTTATCACTTTTTATTCTGCGTTTATACGAGCGTTATGGGTGGGAAATCCGCGTGCATATGGTGACGCAAAAGTGTGTGAAATTCGATGTAGTATGCACTCCAGGCGGCTAGGTGGCAATGTGAAGCACTGCCACACAACACCACCACCGTGAGCAGATTTGCGTTTTTACCGTTTAGACGGGAACGCGACGGTGGAGCTTTTTTAAGATTTCCACTCTGGAGGGTGGCTTCACTTTTTTGCGTTTTTAAGCCACCAAAACGCAGTTGCCGTGTAAACGAAAGGCACATCCGATAAAATATTTTTACGTTTTCACCCGGAATCGTTCTTGTGTAAACGGGCCCTTAAAGTATATAAATAAATAAAAACATAATGTGATGAAAGCATTGACAAGTGCAGATTCATTCACAAAACATTGCCTTCTTTTATGACCAATCACTATGATAAATACCAGGAAAATAGTATGTTTTTTTTTGCAGCATACATTGTGCATCGAAGGATGAACAACTGCAATCGCCAACATTTAAATAACATTTATTTCTGAAATTATAATAGATGCTAAATGTACATGACATTTGATGTGGGGTTGCATTTCTTCACCATTACCATTTTCATAAAGTAGTAGGCAGTATACGGTATATACTGTGTAGTATGCAAATCTGTATGACATTTTTGGTTGCACTTTATTTGACATTTTGTGCACTTACAGCATCTTACCTAAGAAAATACTGGTAATATAAGGTAACTACATGGGTTAAGGTGAGGTTTAGGGGTAGATTCAGTACCTAGTTTAGCCTGGTTAAAACCAGATCATTCTCAGTTGTAACTGAGTTATGGTCTGGCAAAGCGTCATAGACAAATCATTTCCAGAGGGGCGTCACCAACGGACGTCGCGGATAGACCTAAACCCAATCAGAGCGATGAAGGAGATGACGTATGCAGAGCGGCGGAGAAACATCTCCGAGTGTTGTTCTTTACTCGGTTTTTAACAAAAAGGAAACGTTCAAATCGCTTAAAACAGACGCAATAGCTGATTGGAACGAGTGATGTTCGACGGCGGCATCCATCTTTGTAATGTAGGCTACAAAATCTGCTTCAAAATCCCAGCGCTGTCGTCATCGTGTAAAGCCCGCCCCAACGTTTCTGATTGGTGCCTCGATTACGACGGATTGGAAATGGGCTTGAATGAGCTCTTTGCCAGACTAACTTTCAGAGCAAATCTAAATTTGCCGGAAGTTGTCTGGGTTTTCCCAGGCTATACCTAGTTATTACCCAGTTATTGCAATAATATGTTCATGTGGAACAGGACTGTAAAAATAAAATGCTGCCAAATTTTACATCTAATTGCTCAATTTCGATGAGTAAACATTGTAACATTTTTGGAGCTTGATAGTACCAGTCCCCATTCACTTTCATTGCATAGAAAAAAGCAGCTTGGACATGTCTCCTAACATCTCCTGTGTTCCAGGAAAGTAAGAATATCATACAAATGAGGGTGAGTAAATGATGACAGAATTATTAACGTGAACTGAAATGCACGAGATGACCACATGATTTCATAAAAATCCCTTTTGTTCTGGTTTAAACAATTATCTGAACAGTTGATCTGAGGCTTACCGGAGTGCCTGAGCTGCTTGGCTGAGGCCTGTGATCATTCTCGCAGAGCGTAACCAGAGCGTCACCTCTAGCGCCCACTAGAGACACTCTGCCTACTGTGCGCTAACAGCCAATGGGACAGAAAGTGGAGGAAAGAGAATGAAACAGAAGGACAAAGCAATTATAAGGCGAAGCATGAGAAGACATGCTGGGGAAAATCTGAGAGAAAAGAATCCAGAACACCTCATTTTAGGCAAATTTGAACGCAGTATTTTTGCCTAATCTTATTGCATTGCTTGTCCATGGCAGTTTCAAAGTGACGTCCTATGACTGGCGTGTTAAACAGTTAAAAACATGACTTTTGCAACATTTTATGTTGTTTAATGCATGTATCACGCATTAAACTGTTAAAATTGCGTTTGAAACTTACTCCCCCTTTTACTAAACTCTACCATAATCCTAACTGATAATGTGAGCAAAAACAAATCAGATGAAAATGCATTTGCTGAAGCAACCATGCCATTTTAGCTTCCTTCTGCGAAGCTTTGAGCTCTTTTGTGGAGTGTCCAGACTTGTGTTGGACCCAAGCGGCCCGGATCACATGTGCAATGCTGTACCAGGTGAGCTACCGAGCAAGTTTACTGCGTCAGAAAAGCCATACATATGGAGCTGGTTATGTGATGCAAATGTCAAAATGTATTAGTTTACAAAGCATGCACTGTGGTAAGACATAACATTGGTGTTTTACTGCCTTTACTGTTCATTTCTGCTGGAAACTGCAGTAAAATATATGTATAGGTACGTTTTTGGAGTTCTGCAGCAATGTAGAGTCACATATTTTTCACTTACGCCTGGGTTGGGTTTATAGTATGTAGGTGCCTCCCCATGTTTTGGAACAGAACCCGTGTCTTTTAGCTCAAAATGAGGGTTGTCAGTCAATCTTGAGAAGCTAAAACTCCACAAACTCCTATGATCCAGTAACTCCGAACCGTTCAGTTAGAGTTTCAGGTCAAGCATCTGGCAATGGAAGAGAGGAATGCTCTCTCTCCCTGTGGTCAGCTGGAATGTGAGGATGCTTACAGCCAAGTGTGTGTGTGTTGTATTGGCACGTTCTCATTACAAAACCAACCATGTGAAGAGAGACAGTCCATCAAGGAGAGCTGGGGCACTGATCAGTGCTCTCCAGTCCTGCCTACAACATGCCAACAATCTCACGCAAGACTCTCGATCCAGCCAGAACGCATATCATGCAAGTCCTGGGAGATTGTGGATAAGCCTCATTCCACTGGTCATGTACCTGTTTGGGAGCATATGGGTCTCCATTTGATTGAAGAATGTCTGTTTGTTTTCTTACAGTAAAGCCTCGCTCACACTACAGGAGTTTTAAAATCCTAACCGATTTTGAAATCTGGTTGCAGCTCACACTTTAGGAGAATCTTTGCAGATTTTCTTACCTCAAATCTTAAACATGCTCACACTACAAGATTTGAAAATCGTGGCGCATCACACACTACACAATGTTATTAAGATTCGTGCCAGAGAAAGCGCCTCACGTGATCTCACGCAACAGATCGGAAGCGGAAAGGTGGATGTAAACAAAATATCTGTCCTTCATATCAATTCATATTCGTGAAAAGGTTGCCGTGTGACCAAGGAAAGCGAAATCTTAAAAAAAAAATCATCCTTTTAATAAGGATATTTCTAATGAATGGCGTCAGCTCTGTTCAATACAAGGAATCAATGCCATAGATCTCTATAAGGTAAAGCATCAGCAGCGTTGCTCAATGCCCATTGCTGCTCAGCTGAGCATTGTAAAGTGGAGCTCAAAGTTCAAATTAAAATAATTAACAGCTTGTTTCATTTAACCTATCTTTGAATGAATATAACTTTATAATGAATATAAATATTTTATAATGAAAATATTTTTGTGTAGGCCTAGGCCTAATTCTGTGAATTACACTGTGCAAACCAAAGTAATAGCCTACAGTAGATACTACCCACCGGATGAAGAAAGGGCTCTCAGTCTCCACAGAACATAAAATATTCATATTATTTTATTTTTCGTGTTGGCATTTGAGGAAAAAACAATGTTACGGACATGACCGCTCTAATCGACTTTAAAATATGCTTTAAAACTTTCACAAAGACATCAAACAGAAAGCACAAAACCTTTCTTTAAATCGAATTTCGTTTTGTATTAATTGTATCTTAATTTTAAACAATGTTTCATCAACCAATTGCCTGGATTTTTATAAATAAGAAGTAAATATAGCAGACGATAGATAATCACGAAACGGAGGCGTCGGCGATACTTCATAAATGAACCGAAACTCAGCGTATAAGATAGCCTACTTGCCTCACAGACATGTCTACTTTTAAACAGAACAATTCAAAACGAAAGAAAACAGACAACAGACTGCTCTCTGCTTATGTAATCCGTATGAAATGTGCATTTCTCTCTGGCGCGTTCACTACTGAAGATCGCGTGCATCCTGCGGAAGACGGAAGAGTTGCAGATGGTTCAGGGTCGATTTCGAAAAATCTATATTTTTTACAACACTAGATTGTAGGCTACTTAGTTTATTATTTCAGATGCCTTTATTATGCATTTAGTATTTTATTATTATTTATTATACTGTATTGTGCTTATTTATTTAGCAATAAATGGATAAATGGAGATAATGCGCGCATCGCGCTGATGAGTCACTCAAAATTACCTCAATGGAAATTCCTTCACCATGACAGCCCTACTACTTATTGGCTATTGTGACAGTACTGACGTAATCACAATCTTGCTCATCCCGATAAATATCAAACATGTTTGATATGATCGGGGCGAGCCCGATTTGTGTAAGAGCAGATCGGGAGGTGCAAGATTCGATCTGTGAATGCCTCACATTACCTGATAATCTGTGCCGAACATCGGAACCGATCGAGGTCCTCGACAAGATTTTTTCTCCGATTCTCGGGAGGGGAAAATCGGGCATAAATCGGCCTAAAACTCCTGTAGTGTGAGCCAGGCTTAAAGGATGTTGTGCTACTGCTGGTGTCAGACTGAAAATCATGTAGATTTGAGAGTTTATTGAAGCAAATGTTGTGATCCTCTTTGGCTAAGTTAAAGGAAAAGTTGACCCAAAAATGTAAATTATATCATAATTCACTCATCCTAATTCTGCTCCAAACTTGTGTGACTTTCTTTTTGCCAAGGATCCCAAAAGGAAAAAGTCAGCAGAATGCCCAAGCTGCTCTTTTCCAAGAAAGCATTCTTGTTTAATTTGGGCTTTCAAGCTCCAAAAATGATAATACCAAAAATACCTAAATTTGTGAATAAAACAAAGATAATTGGAGTATGTTAAATTCTACTTTAGTCTTTCTACTTCAAAATTGCCTTGGTAACACTTTTTAAACTCTAGTTTAGGGTCCAATTCTCACTATTAACTAGTTGCTTATTAGCATGCATATTACTAGGATATTGGCTGTTTATTAGTACTTATAAAGCACAAATGAATGCCTTATTCTGCAAGACCTTGCTCTCCATTTCTAATCCTACCCAATACCTAAACTTAACAACTACCTTATTAACTATTAATAAGCAGTAATTAGAAGTTTACTGAGGCAGAAGTCATAGTTAATAGTGAGAATTGGACTCTAAACTAAAGTGTGACTATTACGTGTAATGCAATGGGTTACTTGACGTTTCTTTGTTATTATTTGTGTTACCAGCGATTTCTGATGAAAATTGTAAAGTACACCAGATTTACTTCAGTGTATAAACTAAGGTCATTCTTCACTGAAAATCTCAAATCTCATTTGAACATCCACATATTAAACTAGACATGTGGCATTCAATTATTAAGACGTGAGATATTTCTTCTATGGAAGAAAGAAGTTACAAAGGTTTGAATCAACAATATGAGTAAATAATGATAGCATTTTCATTTTTGGGTGAATGACAAACACTCACCATTTGTGAGATATTCTTTGCTTCTCCTTGCATGTTTATGCCATAAATAATTTCTGGTTTTGATTTACAGCTTTAAAAGGCACATGGGAAGAGTGAAACGAAATAGTACGTTAAAAAGAAACGACTCTGAAAGGCATAAGAACCATTGAGGACATAGGAAGTATGTTGAAGGTGAAATCACGTCTTTACCTTAATGAGAAAGCAGAGGAGAAGGTAAAGGAAAGATGGAGAGGAGCAGAGCATTCTGGGATGGGGTGAAATATTATGGAGTTAGAACGATGAGGATTGACAGCGGAAGAACTGGTCTGTTAAGAGCAGAGATAGAGAGATCAGACAAGAGCTGATGCCTTTGATGGTGTGTTATACAGAACAGCATTAAACTGCATTTTAAAGCTGGGGATTTTTCAAAGCGCTCTAAAATTATTAAAGGATCAATAAGTAATTTTTGCTCACTGGGCTTGGACTTTATACTGACACTTACTGACACTTGGTGGATGCAGTCATTGATGCCATTGTAAATTAATTTCCTATTCACAGGCACATTTTTGTTACTAACGGCATTACTTTTTCCAGTAACGAGTAATCTAATTGATTACTCTTCTCATCTTAATAACGCCGTTACCGTTACTGCCAAAAAATGCGGCGCGTTACTATAACTGATGAAGCTGGGGTTTTTTTATCAGACCAACTAGATTTGCGAGAGGCAAATACTTGTTTTACTGTTCTTCCTTGGTTAGTGGGCAGAGCACGAGACAAGTGTATAAATGCGGACGATTGGCTAAGGTAGAGTAAAATGTCATTGTAAGCCAATCAGAGGTAGAGTTGGGCGGGTGTTCGAAAGCACGCATAGTAGTGATGGGCATTCGGCTCTTTTGACTCAGCTCACTGAGCCGGCTCTTTTGGCTCACAAACGGCTCTTTAAATGACTTTGACTATAATATTTCAATTTTTATTACATAATTATTTAATTTCTATAGGCTAAATTTGTAAAAATAGAGTCGGCTTTTCAGATATGCGAGCCAGCTCCCAGCGTTCACCTAAAAGAGCCGGCTCTTAGAGTCGTCTCATTCGCGAACGACCCATCAAAAGCTCATTCGCGAACGAGTCGATCCATCATCACTAACGGCTAACGCTCATGAATTGCGAACGACCCATCATAACGCATAGTCGGACAGGGTAGAGGTGGGGTCACATTTGAGCATTTAAAATGTAATTTTACTTGAAAGTAACGCAATAGTTACTTTCTTAAGTAACTAGTTACTTTTAAAATTTGTAACTGAGTAACTAATTTAGTTACTTTTTGGAAGGAGTAACTAGTAACTGTAACTAATTACTTTTTAAAAGTAACTTGCCCAACACTGTTGTTTATCAAGATTCATTTACTTGGGATCTGACAAGTTAGGAGTAACTGATGACAGACTGTAGAATTATTGGACATTAATGCTTACACAAAATGGTAATGCCACTATACCTCAAGTGTGTATTGGTTTTCAATAATTTAATCGTCTGGAGTCAATTATTACCCTGGCTGACACGCGTACATATATCTATCTCAAGACATTTTTGACAACATTTGTTCAAGACAAGTGTTTGGCATGGTAACGGATATGACTATGTTGGTATGTTTGGTCTTAGTGAAATATATCTGCTACGCTGCTGCTGCAGAGCAAGTAAGATATGCGGCTGCAATAGCGTAAATTAATTATAGATTGCAGATCTATACAGGTGGAGCTGGGGAAGGTGGAGGGTTTCTGAAAGCGTGCAGCAACAACTACAGCAAATGCTGGCCAACTATTTGAAGTTTGAGCTGCGAGCTCATTGGCTACTGATACAGCAGGAACCAATCAGCTGTGGCCTATAACAATGTGATTGCAAGGAGATTGAGTTAAGTTAAGTTATCAGCCTGCGCTATCTAGAGTTTCATGACAGTACTTTGTATGTCTAGAATTCACTAATGTGTAGAACTTCCCTATACCACCAATTAAGTAATTTAAACTGCATATTTTTCAAAAGTAAAACTTTTTACAGTGGAAAAATATACTTGCCATACCTTGAAATAAGAGCCTGTCTATATAACACTTTCTATATAACATGCAAACATGTTGGTTTAGCTATCTAAATGGGTTTCATTTGTACAGAACAGGACGTTTTAGATGGTGCCATAATACCTTATCATGGACTTTAAAATTTCTGTTTTCCTTTGACTGGGGGATCTCTGTTTCGTCTCGATGGCTAAAATGAGACGTTCTGCCACTGCTTAACTGTAACCACAAATTAAAGCCCATTAAATATGTCATAAAGCTGCACTCCAAACATACAATAATGATATCTAACCTACAATTAATCAGATTGACTAAGCTGGTTACCTCCAGCATGCCAGATGTCAAAACACTTGTAAATCTCCCTCTACTGTAATTATGTTTCCTAACTTAGCTGAGCGATGAGGAAACACTCACCAGATGGGACAGACTCCCTGTTTCTCCCTGTATCTCCTGTTTAAAATCCTGCATGTGTAACGGTTTGGGTCTAGACATCTTAACCAAATGGATGTCGATGGAAGAGGAGAAAAGGATAGAATTAGACTCAGCGGACTGGGACAGTGCGAAAAAAAGTTTGCATGCACAATTACCTGCTGAGAGGGACAGGAGGAAGTGAGGGGACGAGGACAGGAAGTAGCAGTGCATTGTGGGAGACACAATTCATGAAGAGAGAGAGAGAGAGAGAGAGAGCAATTTGGATTAGTAGCAGAATGGATGGGTTGAGGAAGATCACTCTCTAGAGTTTGGTTTCCTTTCGTAGAGGACTCAACTAAACTGCTTTGACAACTAAAATCATAAAACAAAGGTTCATGTTGGATCAATGATCAGTGTCACACTTGCAACCTGATCTTGTCATTTGGTTGTCAATAAAGCTCATTAATGGAACTGTCACTTATTGTCTGGTTATTTTTATTATTATTGTTGTATTATTATTATAATTGTTATCTTTGCATATTAGGGGTGTGACGAGATCTCGTGCCACGAGATCCCGCGAGACTAAAATGTGACGAGATTTCTCGCAGAGTAAAAATATCGCCATGACGGAGCGTGAGGGTGAAATTAACATAGAATATGCCACCGCTACATTACGGTGCCCACCGCGTCACCACCTCCACTGTCGTTTCGCTGTTTTTATAAAAATAAAAACCATTGTAAACTACTGTAAACGTCTGCTCTGCTCACCGTCGCACACAGTGCAGCAGAAATCACAGTTCACTGATCGCGTGATGATGGCAGATGATTCGTTGCGCAACAGAGATAAACGTCTGATAAATGCCTTATCTTGTAGAATGCGCGTGTTTAGCACTTCCGCTCCCTATACACGGAGTGCGCACGATCACGAATTTGAAAGTAAAAGTAAAAAACGAGCTCCCTTATGCGCGCAAATTAGACGGCATACAATACAATAGTATGTGTGATGATGCAGCAAGGAAGAAGCGGAGAGAGAATCCAAATACAAGCACTTTAATCAAATAAACAGGTAATCCAAAGGAACTCAGGACAGGGACAAGAACAGCAAACAACTTCACCAACCGACAGCCAACAACTGAAACACAGGGGTTTAAATACACAGACAAACAAGCTAAACAAGATAACAAGGGGGCGTGGTAAATTAGAAACACATGGGGAGACTAATCAAAACGGGGAACAGCTGAACATGAAACAAGACACATGGCAGGATAACATGACAAACAGGGAATCACATGACAGACAAGAACAAGGAACAAAACACAAAACCCACACCGTGACATAGCCCCTCCCCTATGGGCGGCTCCCGACGCCCCTTAGTACAAAAAAAACAAAACAAAAAAACCCAAAATAAAATAGTTCAGGAGGGTGGTGAAGCGGAGGTGGTCTTGGGGGAGGGAAGGAGGGTCAAGTCTGTGCAGGGGGCAAGGCAGTTCAGGCGGCCAGGGCGGTGACAGTCCATCGGGCGGCCAGGGCGGAGACGACTCCTCGGGCGGCCAGGGCGGTGAAGACCCTTCGGGCGGCCAGGGCGGTGAAGACCCCTCGGGCGGCCACGGCGGTGAAGACCCCTTGGGCGGCCACGGCGGAGAAGACCCCTCGGGCGGCCACGGCGGAGAAGACCCCTCGGGCGGCCACGGCGGAGAAGACCCCTCGGGCGGCCACGGCGGTGAAGACCCCTCGGGCGGCCACGACGGTGAAGACCCTTCGGACGGCCACGGCGGTGAAGACCTCTCAGGCGGCCACGGCGGTGAAGACCCCTCGGGTGACCACGGCAACTCGGGAACAGATAACACACACACTTGCTCGGGAACAGACAAAACACTCACTGGCTCGGGAACAGACCACACACTCACTGGCTCGGGAACAGACATCACACACACTGGTTCGGGGACAGACAACACACACACTGGCTCGGGAACAGACAACACAGACTCTGGCTCGGGAACCGACAACACAGACTCTGGCTCGGGAACCGGAACAGACAACACACTCACTGGCTCGGGAACAGACATCACACACACTGGTTCGAGTGTGTGCGCAGCCCACTCACACCACATGGCTGTGGCCATAATGGCCAGTGTTGCGGTCACTGAGGGCTCAGGCATAGCAGTGGCCATATCTGCTGAGGGCTCAAGCGGCGCACATGTGGCATGAACAGTCTCTGGCTGAGCTGACGTGACGAGAACAGTCTCTGGCTGGGCAGACGTGACGAGAACAGTCTTTGGCTGGGCAGACGTGACGTGAACAGTCTCTGGCTGGGCAGACGTGACGAGAACAGTCTTTGGCTGGGCAGACGTGACGTGAACAGTCTCTGGCTGGGCAGACGTGACGTGAACAGTCTCTGGCTGCGCAGACGTGACGTGAACAGTCTCTGGCTGGGCAGACGTGACGTGAACAGTCTCTGGCTGGGCAGACGTGACGTGAACGGTCTCTGGCTGGGCGGTCTCTGGCTGGACGGTCTCTGGCTGGACGGTCTCTGGCTGGACGGTCTCTGGCTGGACGGTCTCTGGCTGGACGGTCTCTGGCTGGACGGTCTCTGGCTGGACGGTCTCTGGCTGGACGGTCTCTGGCTGGACGGTCTCTGGCTGGACGGTCTCTGGCTGGACGGTCTCTGGCTGGACGGTCTCTGGCTGGACGGTCTCTGGCTGGACGGTCTCTGGCTGGACGGTCTCTGGCTGGACGGTCTCTGGCTGGACGGTCTCTGGCTGGACGGTCTCTGGCTGGACGGTCTCTGGCTGGACGGTCCCTGGCTGGACGGTCCCTGGCTGGACGGTCCCTGGCTGGACGGTCTCTGGCTGGACGTGGCTGACGTGAAGCTCTGGCTGGACGTGGCTGACGTGAAGCTCTGGCTGGACGTGGCTGACGTGAAGCTCTGGCTGGACGTGAAAATCCAGCTGGGCGTGGAGGTCAGATGATGACCTGGCGTACCGTGGGAGGAAGCTCTCCAGACATCGGGAGAGTGCCTCTCTCCAGTCCAGACCAGAGATATTGGGAAGCTCCCTCGGGTTGACCTCCTTAGCCCCCAGCCGGTAACACAATTTAATTGCCTCGTCTCCGAGGGAGCAGGAAGAAGCAATAGGAATAAATCCCCACGTAAACTGAAATAAATCGGTGCTATCCAGGGCCAAGGCTGCGATCTGACCCGCGAATTCCCGGCTCATGCTGGGGAGATCAGACGAGGTCCGTGCTGCTGGATTCATCTTTGGTCGGTTGTTCTGTGATGATGCAGCAAGGAAGAAGCGGAGAGAGAATCCAAATACAAGCACTTTAATCAAATAAACAGGTAATCCAAAGGAACTCAGGACAGGGACAAGAACAGCAAACAACTTCACCAACCGACAGCCAACAACTGAAACACAGGGGTTTAAATACACAGACAAACAAGCTAAACAAGATAACAAGGGGGCGTGGTAAATTAGAAACACATGGGGAGACTAATCAAAACGGGGAACAGCTGAACATGAAACAAGACACATGGCAGGATAACATGACAAACAGGGAATCACATGACAGACAAGAACAAGGAACAAAACACAAAACCCACACCGTGACAGTATGTCTCCCAATATCAAGCCTATCTCTGGACTGTGTAGTTGCGGCTCTGGTGACTGGTCTCTGTTTGCACTTTGAATATGCTGTAACATCTGAAGAACGTTAATAAAAATACAATAAAACAACAACAATTTCACAACAATTATTAAGAGTTTGTGCACTACAGTAGGCCTACTTTGATTATGGTTGCACTTGAACTTATTATTTTTTGTTATTTATACTGTTTTTATTTCTATGTTCAATTTGTGGAAAGGAGTTCCATTAGGAGGTAACACACAGCCTCAATCAGAAGTTCTGGAAGCTCATAATTCATGTACAGTTAGGTCTGAAGAGACTCATGTTAAATCATACAGGAGAGAAGCCAGTCAGTTGAGTTTGTGGCAAAACCTTTTACAGTGCTTGTATATTATTGTCTTTCAATACATTTGATAATTCATACTCGAGTAGAAATGACATTCATTACAAGATGATTAGTTCAAACATTTCAAAATGCACCTGCAGCCTATTTTTCCAGTCATGAATTTTGTCATTGAGGATTTCTATAGAATATTGTGCAAAAATCTCATCTCGTTCTCGTGAACCCAATCTCGTGTCTCGTCTCGTGAGATAAGCGTCTCGTCACACCCCTACTGCATATATGTATATTTTTGTAGATAGCAATAATGTCTATTGCATTCATTCTCTGAGAAGAATCAAAGTAATATTTTTAGTTTTTAAAGTAGATATTTTGCAATAAACTTAAAATATATTGCTTCTATAAATAGAATAAACAACTGTAAATAAATAGTTTTATATTTCTTGTATATGATTCATAATGCTTAATGGGATTGCAAGCCATTAATCACACAATCTTGTACCATTGAATTTTTTCTGCATTTTTCAAACACTTCTTTGCTTCAAAACAAAGTTTGTAATGTTATGATGCACTTCATAGCTGGTCGGCTTGGTTCATGGGTTATAAAGCTTTAACAAGGACTATTTTAAAAACCCATGTGGGAAAAAATTAAATGGAAAAAAAATCTTTCGGAAACTTCCAGAACAAACTGAAAAAGTGGGCATGTCTCAGGAACAAATGTCACTCAGCACCTGTGAGCTTTTCGCTGATTCTCTCTTCTCTTCACAAAGCTGCATGTCTAGCTGCCCAGTCGGAGATCTATCCGTCTTATTAGGAATGGGGGAAAAAAGAGCAGGAGAAGGGCATGAGATGATAATGATTCATTAAAGACAAATGGGAAAGCAGTATTAGAAGTGTTAAACTGTATTAGAGATGGACAGAAGTGGATGTATAAGTAATGGCAAGCACTGTCAGAGGACAGGAGACAAGATTAGGAAAGGACATGGGAGGACGTATACTGTGGAAAGCAGCAATGCATTCTGGGATTGGGTGTGGTGGGGTTAATGTGGATATGGACTGGAAGGCCAGACAGCAGAGGAGTCAGTCTGTCCAGAACAGAGATAACTTGAACATTCAATATGAACTGAGAAACATAGATTACAGGGTATTGCACAGAGGTTGCTCTTTAATAGCGCAGGAGGCGTAATGGAGTTCTTAGTTATGTTTAACTGAAAGTAAAGAATTATCTCGGATATATATCCTGAAATTCTATCCTAAAAAACACACAAAAAGACATAGTATAGAGCTATAATTAATATGGATAGCAGCTTAGTTGAAAAATAACATCTTATCATTCCTCTTCATATAACAACTTTGCATTTGTGGGAAGCAAGCCATTCTGCAATATTCTCCTGTATTCCGGAGCATTAAATGACTTTTCACAGGTAAGTAGCTCACCAATACCAGCAGCTAAACAGGCTCTCCACACTATAGCCCCTTTCACACAGTGCGTTGATCTCGGGAAATTGCCGTAAAATTGCTAGAGTGCCTTCTGTGCGAACGCAAAATCATCCCGGGATTGATGCCGGGACCTAGTAACATCAGTCCTGGAACGTGTCCTGTGTGAACAAAAGCCAGGACCAATGCCTTAAGGGGTGTGTCGCACGGGTGAACGTGATTTCATTAAGTACCACATGTTCCTGGATCAACATCTTTGTTGATCCTGGAATACCTTTCCAATCAACCAATCAGATTTGAGGGACAAGTTTACAGTTTATGTCAAGTTTAGGCTTAGAACCAGGGTGAAGTACTTAAACATCAGTGTTATTCACCTATCATTACCCTCTGATTTTAGGGAAAAGTTATGGGTAGGGATTGGGTAAGGACTACATTTGGGGACAGGAATGTTGATCCAGGAAAATGTCTTACGGCCTGTTCACACAGGGACGAATTTCGCGTGCGATATTCGCCGTCGTTTAACGCCTCCTGACTAAGCAATGGGCGCCAATGTGAGTGTGCACACCGACGCGTAAAAGCGTCATTTTTTAATAAACGCCTCGGGTTCGTTTTTTTGGTTTGACGCGCCGCGTCAAAAACTATCCGACCAATGAGATTGGCGCTTTTGCTCACGTGTCTGGAGCTTCTGAAGTTACAGTAAAACACAACTTGGGGGCGCTCAAACACAAAACGGTCTTGCCGAGCACACATACGTAACGGCGAAGAAGATATACAGCGTCTACACTCTGCCGGGAAGAAATAAGAAGAGGAAGATGCAAGGCAAGATGAATGTAGAGCTGCTGGTCTTGTTGGTGTCTTTATAAAGAGACACCAACGACAATAAAGAACTATATGACAAACGCGACAAACTTGCTCTCTTCTTCTGAGTGACAAGCGAGTGTCAGAAGCGTAGTTGCGCAGCGCCACAGTGGACCGGGGTATTTCTGTTTTACATTAAGCGCCATCTAATGTCAGGGAATGAATTTGCATGTTCACTCGGCTCATCGTCAGCGAAAATCGCTTGGGTGTGAACACAAAAAACGCGTTGAAAAACGCTGACGAATAACGCGAGTTATTACTTGGCAGAATCACGGTGACCGTGTCGCACGTGCCATCGCACCGGCCTTTTTATCCACCTTATTCCTACGCCCCATGACGCTTTGCGCGAATTATGGGTGTAACTTCCGTTAAGCTGTAAACAATCAGTGAAAGGCTCGCTCTATGAACGCAATACGTTAAAAAAGTGTCACAATGAGATGACATTAATTGACTCACCCTTCAACCATCGAACATTAAAATGACATTTAAAAGTTTAAAAGAATCAAAGTTAGCCTACTTTCAACAGACCAAAAATAGCCCCAAAAGCGCGAGTCTTTGGTTAAATATCACTGTAGTAGGCAAATATATCTCTGTATTGTATAACAAGCCTTAATCAAAAATGTTCATTAACTTCAGCATTACGTGACACTATATCAAAGTGATTTCCGTCATTTTGACAGATATAAATTGCATTTACCTGTGAAAACAAACCTGGAAAGAGACGTGAGGATTTGAGGAGAATAACGAGAGATTCTTCGTGCATTCCAGTGAATTATTAATGGAATATCGTAAAATACGGGACAACAGACCACAAATGTGCCGTATTTGTTGTCCTTTTCCATGCTTTTACAGCGGATTGCAAAGGAAAAAATAAAAATCATCATCAGGAAAAGAAAGCAGCGACTGAAAAGAGCTCTTGCCATAGATATTCTTGTTATAACATTACGTCACTTGTCACGTTAAAATACCAAGTATAACGTTATTCTCATGATGTCTGAAAATAAATCATGAAGGAAAACTGACGGATCAGCTTTATTTGTAGGGCAACCTTATGATTTGAAATAATTCGTTTTAGCCTTTTTGAATGGAAGTTCCCCAAACCGGAAGTGCCACCCATAATTCAAAACGCAGTAAGGTCGTCAGGAATAAGGTGCGCTACAGCATAAGGGGAACGAGCCACTCGGCAAACCCAGTGGCGCTACTGGGGAGTATGGACTCGTCTTCGTGTAGAAATGACGAAGAGGAGTTATCAGCAGAACTGACATCTGACAGGAGTTATCACATCCTGACGTCACGTGTCTTTACGGGATGTGTGAGAACGCACTCACAGATTCCAGAAAATCACTGGCAGTGTGAATGAACCATAATCAAACGATCCCGGGACACATTATCCGTGTATTTTCCGGAATCTCTGTGTGAAAGGGGCTTATGACACTCTTCCTTCATGCTTCAATGTGGTAGAAATGCATTAATTATTATATTTCTCAGCAGATGTTCGAAGTCACTGCTCTGGAGCATCACCATGCAACCCGTGCTTCATTGTGATTCATCACTGCACACACAACTCATTTTCTGACCAATAACTTGTGGTTAAGACAATTAAAAGCTTAGTGTTTAGCCATTTTGGGCACGGCCCAGGAGTGTATACTCCGATGGGTTGTAGAAATTACAAGGAGGAGCATCTGGCCTACACTTTAATGACAGATGTCAAAACCCAGAACAAGCGTGTTACATATGAAGCCAGAGAGATGCACGCATTCACACACACACACACGCTGAGAGACGTGCTAGCATTATTTCTTGCAGATGCTGCTAAGTTCTATTTTGATTTTCATATTTACATTTGATAGGCAAAATTAAAGGTAATAGGTAATAAAATTGATTCAAATTATATTTATATTTAAAACAGGAAAAATATCTGTCAGTGGGGTCACTTTATTAAAGTGCCGCCATTATGCTTTTTCGAGTATTACCATTCATGCAATGTGTAATATAGCTGTCTGCGAAGTTGTTAAAGACCCACTCCAATGAAAATAATGTTTTTCTAGGTGTTAACATGTTCTTGTGGCATTTTTCTGATGTTAGAGGACATATCTTGAGAAAAATCAGCTCAAAGTTGTATTTCTGAGTATTTCTACATTCAAATGGCTGTGAATCAGTAGCAGACGCTAAAATGCCGGCTAAAATCGACTGGAGTTGTGACGTAGTAACTCCACTGGGCGTCTCCACACGCGACGTCTTGGAGTGAAATAATGATCGGTGATCGGTGATAACTTTGATTAACTTCGGATAATAATAATTAGCGTGTATATAATACTGTTGCCCCACCGGTATTGGGGATGTAAGCTAGCGGGAGAGACAGAGCTCTCAGCAACGGGCAGGGGGAGGGTCGTCTCCGTGCCAACGGCTCCGCCCACAACACAGAGGCGAATTGCTAATGAGCTACTGCCGCTCTGCTGAAGCGAAGTCTCAGAAAACGGCACAGGTTTTGTGATTTTGGCTAAAAATGGCATAATCATAATTTAAAGACCACTGGGAATGTTTAAAAATAGCTCAAAATATGATCGGAGTGGGACTTTAAGTCGAAAGTGCCCGATAAATAAAGTCATTGTCTCCCAAAAGAAAGGAAATATAATAAATGCACAGAGAATGAGAATGTCTGAATCATCTGTGGACACCTGGACTGATTGTTTCTCCTGATGTGAGCAGTAAAAAAGCACAAAAAAAATTCTCTTCCAGTCCGAGAGATCAATTTACATGCTTACAGGAGCCCTGAGCAGCCCAAGACCCCTTTATAGAACCAAGAGAGTCATGCGAGAGTCAGCAAGCCCCTCTTGGTTCTTCTCACATGCTTATATAAGCTCATAAAAGAATAGAGAGAAAACATTTATTCCAACTATTCTTTCAAATCCCACCTAATATGTTTTTACTGGCATATATGCTTTGAGAGTTATGATGTCCACTGGCATTCATTGACTTTATTAACTCTTTTGAAAGTCGTTTGAATGTACCGAGCACTAGTGTGTCCTCAACCGACCCACATCTGCTCTGCTAGAGATTATTAACCAATTATGGCGGAGCGGGTGTGCGGGGAATTCATTACTCAGAAAGCGATGATATCTGCAAAGACTGCAGGTGCATGAAATGATGCTCAGTCACTCAGTGATCAGAGGCCAGAACCGCAGGGCATGCAACAGCAGCGGAGTGAGGAAAGCCGACACACGCAGGAATATAGTCACCTGATGCGGAGAGGAGGCCTCGCCAGAGAACAGAGCGCTCAAATGCACAGCCTTCTCCTTTATGCTTTTTTTATGAAACTCCCTGGCCTTTTGAGTCTGGGCTTTCCTCTGAGTGAGGCCGGCAGAAAGAAAACAGCAAGAAAAAGGGGGGGAAGAGATTAAAGATTGAGCCGGCGGTGAACAGGAAAATCAGTTGTTAGATCGTTTTCCAGTAGAATGACATTTTTTTACTTATAATTAGGGCTATCAATTACGAAAGCCCTAAACCGCAACGTAAAAAAAAAAAAAAAAAAGCGGTAAAAAAAATAAATCAAATCTAGCATTTCGAGATTAAAGTCGAAACATTTCAAGATTAAAGTCAAAACATTTTGAGAATGAAGTCGAAACATTACGATAATACAGTCTTCCATAGAAGTGTGTGCATTCATAAAAGTGCGCGTCCACTGGCTCAGAGCGTGTGTGTGTGTGCGTGCGTGCGTGCGTGCGTGCGTGCGTGCGTGCGTGCGTGCGTGCGTGCGTGCGTGCGTGCGTGTGTGTGTGTGTGTGTAAAGAAATGCACTTGTGAAGTCGAACTGCCATGGATCAACACAAAATAGTAGCTTTTTACTTTTATCTGGGCTTTCAACAAAATTCTACACAGGTGCTTATCTACCAACAAGAATTACACAGACTCCACCGGAGTAGGAATCACAATCTGGTCCAAACTTTATGTGACAGTGTTTTTGAGGTGTTTTCGTGCTCGTCCAGGCAACACTATCTGGGTCGAGAACACAACAGTAACCGTTCTGTCTCCCTCTTCACCGTAAATACGTTCTGGATACATTTTAAGTGCATCATTCTGTATCCAATCATTTGGCCGGATCCCGAGATTTCCTCAGATTTAATAACCACTAATGGTGGTTTAGGAGAGATTCTCTGATATGATTGTGAAGCGCTTTGAGTGTAGGCCTAGTAGACATATGAAAGCGCTATATAAATGCCACATTCATTCATTCATTCATTCATAAAGCTGGATATCTCCATCCAGTCTGAAAAGTGTTTTCCGGGTTGGTTTTCCTATAGGCTAAAGTCTATTCCGGCGCAGTATATTTTATAACGTCCTATAATGGTAGCCTAATGCTGGTAGATTGGCACCTGTTGAATTTCCTTTTGTTGAAACAAAACACACACACACACACACAGAGTGTGAAACACTCGCTATGCACCAGAATGCCTGTGTGTCCGGCAATGTGAAACAATGGCAAGCACACACGCAACTTCTACGGAAGACTGTATTCTCGTACTCTCGAAATGTTTCGACTTTAATCTCGAAATGCTAGATTTTTTTTTTTTTACGTTGCGGTTCAGGGCTTCCCGTAATCAATAGATATTGTTTGATATTGTTTGATATTGTTTTTTTTAATGCCGTTAACCTGATTAATCTGTTTGAGTGGGTTGAAATTTTTATTCAAACATACATATTTGTTTATACATTAATACGTTTAACCTGAACCTGATTGGTTCCTGATACAGCAGGAACCAATCAGCTGTGGCCTAGATAATGATGTGATTGCAAGCAAATTGAGTTAATGACCTATCAGCCTGTGTCATCTAGAGTTTCATGACAGAACTTTGTATTTAATTTTTTTTATTTTTGTTAAAGGTCCCACCTGGAATTTATTTATAAATACATTTTCTATTAAGAAGACTTTAAGAACATTCGTTCATAGCTCTTTACAAAGAGGACAGAACAATTTTGAATGCCAAAATGGTGCATGTTCTACTTCGAAAAGATTATTTAAATACATTAAACATTCTATATAGACATTCTAAAAGTGCTAATAAATTGCATTGTGCTATTTTAGCCAAAAAGTATATATAACAAAAACTTAATATAGGTTGGAAAATGACTATTCCTTTTGAAAAGAGCAGAGTTAATTGTAACAGGGTTGACTTTTTTACACTTTTTTCATTTATAGCCTTGTGATCATATTCATGACACAGCAAGGTGCTTATTAAAATAGAATTTAATTTCTATAAATATCCCTTTTTCAATAATCAATTCTTGACTGTAAAAAATCATGGTAATAGGGTGGATATTTTAACACACTTTTGTGTTTAAAAGGAGATATTTACTACTGTATAAGACAATAATGTCATTATGAACAGCTTGTTATTTTAATAAGAGATGGTAAGATCGAAATCCGTGAAAACAACTTAAGTATTTTAAATAATATATTGTTAATTAAAATAGACACAAGTACTAGCTTTTATGTCCATGTTAATGAGGGACAAACGTGGCACCCATTTTGGAGAATGACCCAACTGCATTACATTAATGTACAGATTAAATATAATATCTGAGCATGTTTAATTTATATAAAAAGTTGGCACTTTAACTATAGGAGCCCTGCTTATAATACAGATATTAGAGCAGAGAGAAGATGTTGGTGGGTCACCTGGCTAATCTCATCCTCCACCCTCTGGAGGCGCTGGAGCATTGCTGTCATGGCCAGCACTGCCGAGTGACCCGAGCCTGAGCCGGCTGTGTTCTCTGCCTCTGAGTGTGTGTGAGTGTGTGTGTGAGTCGGGTGAAGTGGTTTCCTCTGTGGATTCAGAGGACTGGAATGAAGCGAGGGGAAGAGAGGAGCCGAGGGTGGAAACTGTGAACACACGGCACATGTGGGCAGCGCTGGATATAGACTGTTGTACTGATAATACACAAACTTATTGGGGACATTTTTAAGTTTTTAAAGAGGACCTATTCTGCTTTTTTACATGTTCAACTTTCTTTAGTGTGTAATGTTTCTGTAAAATGTCTGCAAAGTTACAAAGCGCAAAGTCAAAGGGAGTTATTCTCTATATTAGTGTCACTGTTTCTGAACTCCCTGAAACGCCTCCATTGTAGTCTGGAGTTTTCTTCCGGGAACGAACACATCACAATATTCCTCATTTTAAATAATTCCCTCCCATGGCATACGCCAAAATTAAAGGGGCGTGGCCTGGTTGATTGTGCTAGTGTGTTGTTGCCATGTTATGGTAAGGGGCGTGACATTTCCCAAACATGCTTGAAGCGGTTGACCAATTGCAACTGGTCGAGCTGACCAATCAGAGCACATTGCTCTTTCCAGAAGGAGGGGCTTCATAGAGACAGGAACTAAACAGAGCGTTACTGACAGACTGGGAAAAGAGGAGCTGCAACAATGGAGAATATGGGAAAAAGCATGAAAGCCTATTTCAGTGGACCCCAAAAAACCCAAAGACTTTGTAAAAGGGCATAAAAGGTCCTCTTTAAAAGGTATAAAAAGTCAAATATCACCAATATATATAACAGCTAATACGAGGTACTGAATGGTACTTTTTGGGGGGGGTGTAGACTAACTTTGGAGGTTCTACCTGTTTTTTAGGGGGTGGGGGTGGAGGAACTTTCTTCCTGATAATGTTAAAGAGGGGGCTATCAGTCATATCGAGCGATGGGGGTCTTGGAGGCCTCTCGCCATTACAGTCAGACTGAGATCATTATACCAGGAGCAGTTTCAGAGAAAGGAAGCCAGGGTCAGAAGCACAGGAAGAAGAAAAGAGAAAGAAGAGATTAACTCGACACAGAAATACTCAGATCAGCCCTAGTAAAGTGATTCTGCAGAGCCAAAGTTTGAGATCATTGTTTAAAAGAATAGTTAACCCCAACATCTTTTATGTCGTTTAAAAAACTAGGGTTGCACAATATTGGATTTTTTTGGATTAATATTGCGATATGAAAACAACTTCACCGGATGACTTGAGAAACGATTAACTTGCGTTAAATATCAAGAAGTAACATTTCAATGTTTGTGAAAAAGAGCAAATAAAATGTAATTCTGTTACAAAAACAAATTGTATGGCTTCAGACAGCTTGGAATATATAGAAATCATTATCCTTATAATATCTTCCCACCTTATAGTCGCATTTAGCAGATTAGAGCTGGATGATAATACAGTTTATTTTTGTAACAGAATTCAATTTGATTTGCTCTAAAATCTTTGCTCTTTTTCACAAACATTGAAATGTTACGTCATGATATTTAGCGCAAGTTAATAGTTATTCAAGTCATCCGGTGAAGTTGTTTTCATATCGCAATATTAATAGCAGGAAAAAAAAAAAGAGCAAAGATTTTAGAGCAAATAAAATTTAATTCTGTTACAAAAATAAATTGTATGGCTTCACACAGCTTGGAATATATAGAAATCATTATGCTTAGAGCTGGATTATAATACAGTTTTCATTTTGCAACAATATAAGCAATCATGCATCAGAGATTTGCGCTATTGTATATACCGCTTTATGTGAGTATAATGCGTATCTTCAGCGGTCTTTACCTGCCGGCGAATAGAACAGCTTGCTGTGCTGTCCTCAAATTTTGCTAGAAGTTGAGTGGCCATAAACTTGACCTTGTTTTCCTTCAGTTCCCGTCCCTCACTGGATACAGAAGAACTCTGATTGAAGGATTTGGCTGTCTGGAAGAGAAATTGACCAATCAGAAATCAGCTACAGTTTCCCATGCCCGTAACCTCAGTTTAACATTACTATAAACTATCATACTGTAATACTGACCTCTTCTAAGTAACTGATTTTCCTTCTTCTCTTGTAAATTGCATCATCGTCTTCAGACTTTTGTTCATTCTAAGAAGCACAGGAATTGATTATTCACATTTCATATCACATTTTGTTATGCCTGATTAATTATAATTAAAAAATATATATATGTAAGTTTTGAAACAATAAGTTACATTTATATTTCAAACTTGTGGACTTTTTTTTGTTTTTTTGTTAAAGGTCCCAAATGGAATTAATTTATAAATCCATAAAAATATTCATTTATTATAAAACTATTTGGTAACACTTTACTTGAAGGGGTGTGCATAAGACTGACATGACACCTTCATAATCATGACATGACACATGTCATGAATATGAAGAAGGTTTTATGCATGTTTATGACAACTGTCATTGAGTGTCATTCGCTCAATTATCACATTTTTGATGCAAATATGACATTGTTTGAGATGTCCTTGTTATGACACCTTGACATTACTAAGACAACACAACCTATCATAAATATGTCATAAACATGACATAGCAGATTAATTATCAAACTTAAGATACCACTTAGCTTTATGTTGTCATATGTCATGAATATGAAGGAGGTTTTATGCATGTTTATGACAACTGTCATTGAGTGTCATTCGCTCAATTATGACATTTTTGATGCAAATATGACATTGTTTGAGATGTCTTTGTTATGACACCTTGACATAAACCAATACATCATAACCTGTCAGTGTCTTTGTCATGACAACTTGACATTACTAAGACAACAAAACCTATCATAAATATGTCATAAACATGACATAGCAGATTAATTATCAAACTAAAGAAACCACTTAGCTTTATCTTGTCATATGTCGTGAATATGAAGGAGGTTTTATGCATGTTTGTGTCATGTCATGATTATAAAGGTGTCATGTCAGTCTTATGCACACCCCTTCAAGTAAAGTGTTGCCAAATTTTTTAATCTGCTTTAGATCTGCAAATTTTAAACTTGATGGCATGAACAAAAATAAAGTCCACCAAACACAAACCGTAAAAGCGCTTGTAATAGATCAAACCCATTGTATACTACCTTGGGTATGCGTTTACGAGGCTGATGTAAACTCAGGGATCTGTAAACAGGTCTGGAAGCTGTAGGACATTTTTCCTTATTTGCATCACCATCTCGCTTTGAATCTACAATAAACCACATGATAGAAATTTGCATGACATTTAACACTAAACAACTACAACAAGCATTGCAACCAAACTCGCATCTCTTTGTAAAATAAAAGCCTCATATTGCAGCTTGATTGAGCCATCTGAATCAAACATGCTTCTGCTGTATCGCAGGTATGACATTTAACTTTATATAATGTGGCATATTTCTGGCCTCCTCCAGTGCGGTGATGTGCAGATCTGTAGGGCGGAAACCTGGTCTCAGACAGACATGCATTCCTGGCATGACTGAAGGAATTGTGTAACACAAATGTACTAGTGCGAAAGGCCAGATAAAATTCTCCTCTTTAGGGACTTTCCATGAAAGCACTGTATGTTTCCTTAATGGACACACCTTATGCAAACTCAAACTAGATGAAAGACACGCTCAAAGTGGTCTTGTGTCGATGTGACGATGACTTGACAATGTTTGAAGTGGAATACACGCCTACTGTATACAACACAGTATACACTGCATATACTAGTATGCTAGATTGTTGTCAAGTGCCATCCAATTAATTCCCACTATTAACTAGTTGCTTATTAGCATGCATATTACTAGGATATTGGTTGTTTATTAGTACTTATAAAGCACATATTAATGCCTTATTCTGTATGACCATATTCTACATCCCTAATCCTAGCCAATACCTAAACTTAGCAACTACCTCATTACTTATTAATAAGCAGTAATTAGGAGTTTATTGAGGCAAAGTCATAGTTAATAGTTAGTGAATGGGGAAAATCGGACCCTAAACTAAAGTTTTTGTATAGTAAGATGTAGTTTGCCTTTTTTCCAAATAATTTTGTCAGAGAAATACCTCAAACAAGCAATAATAATAATAATAATAATGAGAAATCACCATATTAGAATGATTTCTGAAGGATAATGCGACAATGAAGACTGGAGTAATGATGCAGAAAATTCTGTTTTGAACACAGGAATAAATTACTGTGTGTTCTGTGTTCTAGGACTTTTATTTTGAAGTGTATTCTCTGTTCACTTCCTGTGGTTTGTTCCCGTTTTCCTTTCTTTCTATAGTTAGCCTTGTTTGCATGACAATTCATTACCCACACCTGTGCCTTGTCAAGCCTCTTGTTCTCCAGTGTATATAGTATACCCCTGTGTTTCAGTAGTCTGTCATTGTTTTTGGTAAAGCTGTTGCGTTTCCGTTCACCAATGGATTATTATCTTGTTGTTTCTAGTTTGGATTATTGTCTTCCCTGTTTGAATGATCATTCATTTAAAAAGAAAAAATCAATGAGATCAAATAAATGCAGACTTTAAAAAAAATCTTTTGTGATTCTGATGATTGCAAGTATGCTATTCCAAACAATGTCAGTGATCCTTAATGAACTGTAATGAAAGAGTTCACGATGTACCTGAAGGAGGTAGAGGCGTTCCCCGGAAAAGCTCATAGAATTTGGAGAGGTATGTGCTCATGCTGGTCTTGTCCGGCTCCGGTCCTGACGCCAGCTCTTTCCCTGTCATGAACGGCTTGATGCCAAACTCCTTCTCGGACACATCAAATGCCAGCTGAAGATTTTTGGCACAGTCTTGCTCATTCAGAGAGTCGTAATCGCTACAGGAAACAATACGATAACAGCAGAGAGCATGAATTAAACAAGCTGACCTCTTGACATGTGTGCTGTGAAAGGACAATCGCAAGTTATGAAAGTTCTCTGGTTTCCTTCAGCTACTTTTGACAATCTCAGATGACAGACTTGAAAAATGGCTCCTGATAAAGTGTGTGAAACGTTGCAACATGGTTCAAACTCTTTCTCGGCCAAGAACGCTCAAGTTTAAGTCACAGTTTTGATGAATAAGTAAGAAGCTGTAAGACGGGAAAATGGTTTCTCAAGAGGTCAAAGTGCATTTCACATGTCCGGCTCATGTTTAGGCTTACACAGTAACTAACTGTGCGGAGGAAAACGCTAATAAACACACGAGAGTTGACTGGATGTGTTGCCAACACAGAACAGGATTTGTAGGCATGTCAGGAAGCAGACCAAATATTTATGAAATGTGCTTATGACGTAATTCCATTGCTTATGTTTTACTCATCAGATGAACATTATCAAAGTGTCACGTAATCTACTGTTTTACTAGAGACTGCCATATTCATTCTTTATAATGGGCAATATTAACATGTATTATGAGTTTCATTTTTTTAGTTATGTATTTTTTCTGGATATGGTAATACCATTGTTTTCAGACATGTGCTATGCTTTTTTTTTTTTTTTTTTTTTTTGATATAGTACCATGGTAATACTATGGGTTTTCTTAGACTTGGTACCATGTTAATGCCATGTACCATATTTACTTGTACATGACACCTAGGCAGTGGCGTAGGTTTGATTTTTAAATTGGTGGGGACGGGGACATCAATATTTAATATATTTAATGTTTTGATCGAAAATATTGCTAGGGATATATCAGTGTCACTGGATATTGGTAGGGACACGTCCCTAGCGTCCCTACTAAATTCTACGCCCCTGCTGACCTAGGTAAGACTATGTATGTATTTTTAGTAACACTTTATTTCACAGTGCCCTTGTTTAGCATTTTACACGTAGTTACTATAGTAATAAGTATACATTATGCATAATTACATGCACCTAACCCTAAACCAAACCCTAACCCTATAGTAAGTACATGTTAATCATTATTACTCAGTACTTAAATGTATAATTACACTGCCGGTGATTCTACCGATCAGGATATTAGATACAGATTTTTAATTGTAAAAGATAAAGACAATGCGGATGAGAGACGATGTAAAGAATCTCACATGATCTGCGGTCTGAAGTGATGAATGAGAGCACAGAGAGCCAGGCCACTGCTCCAACAGGAAGTGAGGTCAGTCACATTCACACCCCTGTAGCCCTGCGTCTGCTTCTGACACCACGTCAGTAACCGACTCGGCCTGATCTCAGACTCTGTTAAACACACAAACACAAGCAGAGGGAAATGTTATTTTGAAACTGATCAACACGAACAAATATACAAGGGTTGATCGGGACTGAAAGTCGAGGTGACGTCTCTGTCAGGTATCTGAACTTGACTCATTAATCCTCTTACGCAACACACTATTTATTAATGTTTCACAGTAGTGTTTCACCCTGACAGCTAACAACTGTTTTTAGGAGCACTAAAGCCATGTGTCAACAAGCACAGTTGACCAGCAAGAGCTGAAAGGATTTATTGTGATTGATTTGAGGAAACAGCAGCATGAACAGAGACTAAAGAAATGTGATATTGCTGTTTTTGCCTCTTGTTCCATTTCCTCTTAAAGAGGCAAATTTAGCCAAGGAAAGAGGAAGTTGTGCAGAAAACTCCATGCACAGCACATTTTTAATTGATGTACAGAACCACTTAAATGTTTGGAATAATTCAGATTTTATTCAGTCTCTTTTGTATGGAAGCTTGTTTCCGCCACTGAATTAAAAAAAATATATATAATAATTGCGACTTTTTATCTCACAATTGCGAGATATGAAGTCAGAATTGTGAGAAAGTTGCAATTGCGAGATATAAAGTCGCAATTCTGAGAAATAAAGTCGCAATTGCAAGAAAAAAAGACAGAATTTTGAATTTTTATCTCACAATTCGGACTTTTTCTCACAATTGCGAGTTTACATCTCGCAATTCTGACTTTATAACACCTAATTGCGAGTTAATATCTCAAAATTCTGACATCTTTTGCGAGCAATTGCGAGTTATCAGGCCAATTCTAAGGAAAAATAAAAGACTAACTTTTTTCCTCTCAGAATAGATTATATCTCACAATTCTGACTTTATAACACGCAATTTAGACTTTATATCATGCATTTTTGACTTTATAACACGCAATTGCGACTTTATATCAATCAATTCTGACTTTATATCTCGCAATTCTGACTTTATATCTCGCAATTCTGACTTTATAACACGCAATTGCGACTGATATCACGCAATTCTGACTTTATATCTCGCAATTCTGAGAAATAAAGTCAGAATTGCGAGATGTAAACTCGCAATTGTAAAAAAAAAAAATTCAGAATTGTGAGATAAAAAGTCGCAATTACCTTTTTTATTTTTCATTCTGTGGCGGAAACAAGCTTCCATACTTTTGCTCACCAATTAAGGCTGCATTTATTTGATCGAAAATAAAATAAAAACAGTAATATTGTGAAATATTACGATTTAAAATGACAGTTTTATGTTTTAATATATTTTAAACTAATTTATTCCTGTGATGGCTAATCTGTATTTTCAGCATCGTTACTACAGTCTTCAGTGTCACATGATCCTTCAGAAATCTTGATGATATGCTGATTTGCTGCTCAAGAAACATTTCTGATTATTATCAATGTTGAAAACAGCTTTTGCTGTTTAAAGGAATAGTTCACCCAAAAATTTAAATTATCCTATTATTTACTCACCCTCAAGCCATCCTAGGTGTATATGACTTTCTTCTTCCAGCCAAACACAATCTGATTTATATATATATATATATATATATATATATATACCGGTTTATATATATAAATATCCTGGCTCTTCCCAGCTTTATAATGGGAGTGAGTAGAGCCTGAGATTTTGAAAACCAAAAAAGTGCATCATAAAAGTAATCCATATGGCCATAAAGTGGATTAATAAATGCCTTGCGTAGTGAAGTGATGGGTTTTTGTAAGAAAAATATCCATATTAAAACTTTATAAACTATAATCACTGGCTTCCGGTAGAGTTGAAGGATGAACTCTGACCCGACGTACGTATGAAGTAGTAATAATGCATTAAATTGATAAAAGTGATGAATGAATGAAAGGAACAGCATGAACATTCTTCAAAATGTCTAGTTTTAAGTTTCACGGAATATTTCACAAGTTTGAAACAACATGAGGTAAATAATGAATTTCCATTTTTTCGGGTGAACTACTCCTTTGGCAGCATGGCGTTCCTGACGGCAGATTTGTTTAGGGTAACAGTCTTCTCACTTTGGCTCTGCTGGTAATAACAAATCTCAGTCTGGATCGAATTCCCTCGGCAGAAATAAATTCTGCTTCCCCCTGAACCTGCCACATGTTGGGAGGAGTGCAGTCGCTCTGCTGTTTTGAGATCGTTCCTAAAACAGGAGCTGGCTGTTACTGTATCTGCTGGATGCAGGAATGCTGTAAACACATCTGAGCTGCTCGCCTTTTCTCAGTGTCTGTGGTTATCATATGCAAGTCTCAGCCCTCATATACAGTACTAGCCTGGCGGCAACTCTTGGGGAACTGGACGCTCCACTCAAAAGTAAAAGAGCAGAGGATAATTATAGACACGTGTTAGACTGATTAGCAGGATCTTCTGACCTCGCCTGGCCAAGTTGACAGGACGGCGTATCGTGGCGGCCCGTTCCAGAGAGCACGGCTTCATCTCTCCACAGATATAGTTGTTCCGGACCTGCAAAGGAGAAAAATAAACAGAGATCATTTCAATGAGAGTAAATGATTCTCATTAGATGAGCCATGTTAAACAAAAAATGGCACATGGTAAAATCGCTATAACACAGCTTCAATGAGGTTATTGCTTTCAAAAAACAGTGACAGCATAAATACTGGAAAATGTGTGTTCAACAAATGGTTTAATTTATTAATAATAATAGTTTAAATGTTTGTAATAAATATATAGTTCAGTAGTCTGTAGGCATTTGTGGTTGCAAAGCAACTTTGTCTATTACTGTACTATGAGCTTGGCAACTATATGTTGGGCTACTTTATTATATTATTTATTTGTTGTGTTTATATACGCTACTGATTAAAAGTTTGGAATAATAATAATAAAATGTTTTTGAAAGATGTCTGCATTCATTGAATCAAAAATAGGCTACGGTAAAACATTCATAAATACTAATATAATGTGAAAGGTTTTCTATTTTGATATATTTACATAAGAAATGTATTCCTGTGATCAAAGCTAAATTTTCAGCATCATTACTCCAGTTTTCAGTGTCACATGATCCTTCAGAAATCATTCTACTATAATGATTTGCTGCTCAGTTATGATCAATTATTATTGGTGCTCAATTATTAATATCGACTCTTCTTCTTATAATTGCTGATTAATATATTTGTGGAAACCTTGAAATAGGTTTTTCAGGATTCCTTGATGAACAGAAAATTAAAAAGAACAGCAATTATTTGAAATATAAATATTTGTAACACAAATGTATTTACTGTCACTTTTGATCAAATGAATGCATCTTTGCTGAATTAAAGTATTTATTTTCTTCTTTTTTTACTCCGGTTTCCACAAAAATATTATTTATATTTAATCATTATGCAGCAAAAACAGTTTTCAACATTGATAATAATCAGAAATGTTTCTTGAGCAGCAGATCAGCATATCATCAAGATTTCTGAAGGATCATGTGACACTGAAGACTGGAGTAATGATGCTGAAAATGTAGCTTTACATCAAAGGAATAAATTACATTTTAAAAATATATTAAAAGAGAAAACAGTTCTTTTAAATTGTAATAATATTTCACAATATTACTGTTTTTACTGTATTTTTAATCAATTAAATACAGCCTTGGTGAGCATAAGTGAGCACATTTTTAAAAATCTTAATTATTACAAACTTTTAACAGGTATAGTGTATTAGTTTATTTATGGTGATTGTCATAGGTGTTTTATAAAAGCAATAAGTCGCTTGAGCTTGTGAATTGCAGTGATTTTTGTAGTGATAGTTTATTGTGCACAAATAGAAATGCCATCTCACCTGGTGTGGCCTCACACAGTTTGAATTAAGGTTTGGATAGCGTGTTCCTGGATCTATGGTGTACAAATCAAAGTTTTTGCCAATGTTTTCAGGTTTTGTCTGAGGTAGCAATCGGTACAGACTCTCCCTAGAAAAACAACAACGAAGCAACTACATAAACAAGCTATTAATGGTTTTATAAGTGCCTATTAAAGGTGCTCTATGTAGCTTTTCTTCTAAAATGAATCCTTTTTTTATTGCCTGTTTGTGAAGGGGTTGTAATCACACATTACAATGATCCACTTGTCTGGTTTTGCTATTACCTCTGAAGGCCAATATTCATATTTTTATGTGAAGTCTCCGGGTCGGATTTACCGCGAAATCCAACGGATGTGACGTGCATGCGCGCTCCCGAGCCTCTCTCCTTTTTATATACAGTCTATGCGTCGGCACTGCAGCTGACGACATGGAGTCTGATAACACCCAAAAACGACCTGCCTCCAGCACAACACAAACTCCACAAATATATAAAAAACAAAAAAAAAGTTTTATCTGCTGAAGCTCGTCAGGCCAAACGTGATTCTGATCGACTCAGGACGAAAACACGGATCAACATCGGCAGAGCTTTTGAATTATTAGTAAACTCAAATGAAATAGCAAGGTAAACTAAAGGAGACATGAAATTAATACAAAAGACTGTTCCAGGATAAGAAAAAGTAGGTGCTTTAGGATGTATACTTGTTTTATGTACTAGATCTACTGTCTAACGTCACTCATCCCACTACTATCATATTGTTTATAATAAACATTTCCAGCACGTTCAGTACAGTAATGTTACTTCCTACTGTCTTACTGTTACACTGACATTGTTCAGTCTAGTTCACCGTTTTCGTTATCATATTATACATTCACCTATGTTGACATTGCTGATTGTGAAAGATACACGAATAGTTAGTGAAATGCCTTATGCTAGATAACACCACATTGTCGGCTAAATGCAGTCAATGTAACGTTATCATGGTACGAGCATGGAGCATTAGTTCAACGTCAAGCTGATAAAAGTAGCCTATTATTGTAACGTTGCAGTGGGCGTTTACATGAGTTTCCAGCATGTTGTGTGATGCTTTCGCCGTTGCATTGAAAGTCTCTGTGTGGCCGGTAGTGAATGCTCGCTCTTGAGATCGCACACGCACACGAGCACGAGCACGAGCGCTCTTGTTGCAATCTGAAACATCACCACTAGAGGCCGCTAAAAAATACATAGAGCACCTTTAAGGCTTTCACTTCAGTATTCATCTAGAGCTGTATGTGGCATTCATTGTTTGTGCATGTGAATTGTGACCTTCACTGACCTCTCTGCCAGCACCTCGAGTGGATTTCTACCCTGCGCCCAACTTTTTACCATCCAAGCCGTGTCAAAGGCTGCCAGGAACCCGCGGGCACAGCCTGTCCCCATAGGCCAGAAGGGCTACAGTTACACAGACAACCATCAAAATCTAACATAATAATCATACATATCAAGCTCAAAAAAGATGATGATGATTTAGTCATAACTGCACAGTAGTGTAATCTCCTCACCTCTAGAAGGCTGTCTCCCACTAGTGCCACCAGTACACTATGACCAAACCTCTCCCTGACCAGAGCAGCGTTCTCTGAGGCGTACATGCTGGTGAAGTCAAACATGGCCACATCAGGCTGCCCGCAGTGGTTGATGGCGTAGTCCAGCGTGGGCAGCTGGTAGTGTGTGGCGTAGTCGGCTGCCTCTCGAGCATACGCCAGCAAAGCCTCTTGATTCACATTCTCGCTGTTCAGCAGCGCCTCAGTGTCGATATAATCCTGGCGAATACACAAAATGAGGTTACTACACCAAACACAATGTGTAAGCGAGCTGTGATAACTCATTCTTTAACTGCTATAAAGTCAACATGAAACGACATTTACTTCTGACATGTGCAATAGTGAAATACAGTATTCTGAGAAAAAAATACATTATGAAATATGAAGAATTAAATCCTGAAAAGTGATTCTTTCATACAACAATATTAAAACAATAGAGCCAGCCCTGAAAGAGTTTACAGTTTACTCCTGAAGCACACGTGTAACATGATAGTCATTTTTTTCCATTGATCTATTTTTCCAAATTAAATTCAAATGTATGCAAGATTTAAGCCTCGATACAAGGATTACATTCGTGTGTCATAATCTTCTTATTATGTATTTTTTAAAGAAAAATTAAGCATTGAAGCAGTTTTGTTAAAATATTAAAAAATGTTGAGTCTCATAGTGTGACCAACATGCATTTACATTTATTGTCAAAGTCGGTGAGTCTTACAATATTAAATAAAGGTTCAGGTTGTAAAATTACTAATTTCAGTTCAGGCTGTAAAATGTCCAATTAAATTTGATAAATTTAATTGTAAAATTGAGGTACAAAACCCTCAAAAAGTATAGTGTTGATGTATTATATATATATAATATATATATATATAAAATGATGATGTACTCTGTTGCCAGATATCGATTACAGAAAACCATCTAAATGCAGTTCATGCCAAACTAACCAACTAAATCCAATCAAATTAACAAACATTGAACCACAACATATATTTTCATGGTTTTCCTCAAACAAAAGAATTTGTCAAAAATCTGGGAGAATATTTTTTCTATACATTTTTTTACTGAGTAAAGGCTACATTATCTGGCAACATGCTTTAACAACGTTGCTAACGTAAACATTACGAACAAGATTCGGGGAATGAATTTCATCTACAAATGAATTACAGGAAGATGGGCATACATTTAAATATATACCCGCCGTGGTGTTTCGTGTTTGTCATCCCTAGTTTGGAAAAAATGCAAAAATGCCTTAAAAAATGCCTTTAAAAAATGAATCCATGCACGTTGGGTTGGGGTAAGAAGTGATTGGGGTAGATTCGGGTCGAGTACGGATCTCAGGACCAGAGACACACTCAGTTCTAGCACTGTTGACTCACTGTATTAAAGGTGCTCTAAGCGATGTCACGCGTTTTTTAGGCCAAAACATTTTTTGTCACATACAGCAAACATCTCCTCACTATCCGCTGGCTGCCTGTCCCCTGAACACACTGTAAAGAAACGCGATCTCTGTAGACAGCCCAGGCTCCACAAACAGCAACAAAAACAAACTGCGGCGACCCGCTCCCCGAAACATAACAAACAGTTCCAGCCAATCACCGACAAGAAGGGTTTGGGGGTGTGGTTTGGGGGGTTAGTGTGTGGATGAGGAGGAGGGAGGGTCTAGCTAGCCTCCGTTTTGTTTGACAATAGTTCGAACGTCAACAAGAAGTGACGTCACCCAGAATCGCTTAGAGAACCTTTAATAAATCAGATCAGCACGGACTGTGCCAACACTAATGTACGTCAATGATGATGAGGCATAAGTACTGAGACTGACACAGAGCGCTTGTGACTGTGCTTCTTTCCCAGATGAATGTGTTACTTAAAGTTGTTTATAAGCCTCTGGACTCATTAGCTATGTTTCCATTCAAAGCTGCTAATTTAACTTATGTGGAAAATTGGAACATCGAATAAAACATTCGCAAATAAAAAACTGCTTCACTTCGAGGGAAACTAGCAGCAAAATATATCTAATAAAAATGGAAGTTGCTGCAATTGGGGAAGAAACTCTGGCTCTTTTTTTCATACATCATAAACAACTTGAGCAACCGATGAGACGCAATAAACGCTGTCATATTATCTTGCGTTCGGAAGCACAATTCTGCGTGGTCATTATACCCAACAATTTTGATGACAGACATTGGCTCAGGCCTTTCAGAAAGACCTAACCAATATTAGAGACGTTGTGCAATGAAACTGGTCCGCCAGTTAGTCCAGTTATCCAATCACATCCTCTGTTGAGGCAAAGTTTTTTGTTGCACATTAAGGGATTTATTCAGTAAATGTGTTTCCATATTCTTATCGGATAAATATGATCCGCCTCAATTGAGCGCATACGTTTTTTATGCACATCTTTGTGTTTCTATCCAGCGTTTTTTATGCGATATCCCAATATTTGCATAAAAATAGGTGGATGGAAACATAGCTTTTGATGTATTTTTAAAGAGTTCACTCAACACGTGCCAAACTCACATGAACGATGACACCCTTGTCCAGCAGGCTCTGCTTCTTAGCTGTCATGACAAAGTAGTGTGTGTTGTCTTTGTAGTAAACGATGTTCTCAAGATCAATCCCTGCGAAAGAGACAAAATCGTGGTCTTACTGTACATGAATCTGTCTCATAGACTCACCTGTAACATTTTCTTGCCTGTAATATGACAGTCTTTTGAGGTCAGTGTGAGTTTAAGACAGGATTTTAAAGGAATTCAGTTTCAAAGGGGTGCGAGTCACGACAGGTACACAAAGCATACGTATGTTTTTGGAGGGAGGAAGCCCATAATCCCCTGGAGGATAAACATTTACGTGACAAATCAGAGCAAGAGGATGATAACTGATACATGGGCGCTCCTCACAGCAGATAACACTGACACGCTAACGGAAAACATTGCGGGAAATACCGGGATGAGGTGAAAGTTCATAGCTGAGATGGTTGGGAGATATTTCTTTATTATCCATGGAGCTGGATGCCTAGTTCAGAGTAAAATGGTGTATTTTTAGTGCTTAATGTGTCATATTTTGCTCACCGGTTTCCTGTTTGAGATCTTGAAAGAATTTCTGGTTGAAGATGAAGGCAACTCCACTTATCTCCTCAACCTTTGCCTCAGCTGTGGTGTTTCTGTTGATGAAGTTTGCCGTTATGGCGATGGCCAGTTTGCCACGAAATTCCTTCCTCCTGAACCCTGAGAATGAGAGGAAGGAAAAAAAGTGATGTTCTGGTCCCTACATAATGTCCCTCCTACAATGTTGCAAAATTTCTAAAGCAATAATGTTCCTGTTTGACAGAGGTCCACTAATGAAGCGAAAATATGCCACTCTGTCCATTATTTTAGGCTCAAAGACACTCAATCTAACCAACGTTTCCAGGGACAAACAGTTTGCGTGTCCATGCCAAATACTGCCCAGATATTTTAGGGTTTAAAAGACCATTTATATTCTGTAATATTATTGATTTTACTGCACTGACACTAACTGAACTGAATCGAATCAACACTGAAAACTGACTTGAGCTGAAAAATTACACTATTGTCTTCTGTAGACCTGCTTTTATTGCTGAAATCCAATTTGTTGTATAATTGATCAATGTTATTTTCCTGTTATTACTAATGTAAAGCTGCTTTGAAAGTTCTACTGTATATAAATAAATGTGATTTGACTTGACCAGGGTTATTATCATTTCCTAAACCAAAAACTAAAACCATACTGTAAAAAAAAAACATTACTTTCATTAAGTTAAATAAACATTAACTGAAAATAAAATACAAAAAACCTAAAACTCGACATTTCTTATTTTTTAGTTTAAGTTAAAGTACTAAAAGAACTAAAGCTAAATAAAAACTATTAGTTAATAAAAATGACATATCAACAATGAAATTACTCAACATTTTAACTAAAATTAAAACAGAAAATTTGACACTGAAATCTAATTCAACATATTAACCAAAAATGTAACAGTATATCAATGACACTAAAATAACACTGGATTTGACTTGAAGATATTTGATGTTTAATGAACAGCAGAATTTTGGACCATTGAGATTTCACAGTGGCCGTAGCCCTGCCCACACGAATACAATGTTTTCTCAACATTTTGACCTCCCTCCACACGTTAGCAGCGTTTTAGGTTTTTGAAAACACCTTCCAAAGTGAGGGCAGCATTTTCTCTAATGCATATGGACAGGTGGAATAAAGATTTGGTGACATCATGAACAATTTAAATTTTTGGGGTGAACTATCCTTTTAATCATTACACCGCTATATGGCAGAGTCTGGGAAGTAAATCTCTCCGTCTGCAAATCCCTATAATATTCATCTGTGGCTTTTAAAGCACGTTGGCATTTTTGTATCAATGGTGTGATTTCTTAAAGGGATACTCCATCCAAAAATGAAAATTCTGTCATCATTTACTCGCCCTCAAGTTGTTGCAAACCTGTATGAGTTTCTTTCTTCTGCTGAACACAAAGGAAGATATTTTGAAGAACGATTGGAACTTTGGCACCATTGACTTCCATAGTATTTTTTTTTTTTTCTACTATGGAAGTCAATGGGGTCCAACAACTGTTTGGTTCCAATCGTTCTTCAAAATATCTTCCTTTGTGTTCAGCAAAAGAAAGAAACTCATACAGGTTTGCAACAACTTGAGGGTGAGTAAATGATGACAGAATTTTCATTTTTGGGTGGAGTATCCCTTTAAGACACTGTTGGCGTGCAGAAACAAAATGGAAGGCAAAAACTGCACATGAGGACAATCCCACAAGATCAACAAACTCATCTCATCGTTTTGTTACTCATCACTCGGAAGAGATAGCTTTCAATAAAAGTGCCTTGTTAGGAAGTGTTGTGCCTGCTTGCGATTTCGTCAATCCTATAAGATCATTACAAATCACACTGTACGACATGGATCTTATAAACTTGGGTACGACATGAATGTAGACTGTACGATGATGACACCTATTGAATCGTAGGCTACGACGCAAGAATAAAATGTCATCAGCATGCGCTGGTGGTAAACAAATAGAGCAAGATGAATAGCACTTTGGCAGTTGTGGATTTTATGTGCACTGAAAAAAAGAGGAGGAAGCGAAAGAGGAGAATATGGATGCGGTCTTGGCTAGAGAAAAGAGGCCAAGTCGGCATGCCAATTTTGTAAATGGATCTTGAGGAAAGTAGGTTTAAGTTTTAGCGCCATGTCGCGTTGATCAATACGCTTTGGCTAGACAGTAGACGTAGGTCGTAGCAGCAAACACACTGTGAGATGATCATGCTAAATTTCTGACACTGACAATTCGCCTTTGGCTAAGCCACACCCTAGAATGTAGATTGACCAATCACAGCGCAGCCAAGAACGAGCTCCCACAGAGGTCCGACACTTTTTAACAGCGCTCCATTGACTTAAACACAGGCGTCTCATATTTTTGGTCTCGGCCGGCTATTACCGTCGTAGTTTTATCAAAAATATGCTAAACGTTGTGCCTGGGGCATTTGTAACACAGATACGCGTTTCCCAGAGAGGTTGGAGGGGGGTGTGCGTTTTTTTCCCTTCCCAAAACCGAAGTCAAATCCTGACAAGTTATACTCGCGTAGTCCGTTTGCTTTGTAATAACGATTATAGAAGTGAATAGAGACCTACCCAGCTTTGCATGAACAGTGTTGCTCCTTGATATTGTTAGTCCCAGCCTCCGTCTCGATTAGTAGGATATGCGGTGGTTCATTTTTTGACTGTGACCGGTATGCTTTTGCCTCTATTTGGATCCCTTGTTGTTCCTTGCGTTTCACATGTATGTCGTGAATATAGCCTTCGAACGTATATTGCAGCCCTTTTGCCTACTTCTATCGGACACTTTATTTGCTGCTTTATAAAAGTTTGATAAAATTCCAGCAGGAAGAGCTGTCACAGCATAAGCCATGTTGATACCAGAGCCCAGATGAAGTTTGTTTGTCGGACGTAGCAACAGTAACTAAGGGGGGCGGAGCTTAGCCAAAGGCGAATTATTGCAGGCTATCATTGGTCGCAAGACCGAGACGAAGGCCGCATTTGAACCTCTCACTGAATGACGTAGGACCCCCGTTTAAGAGCCACAACCACAGAAATCGTCACGATTGGGCATTCGATGCTCAGTTATGAAAGTAGAAGGAACTTAAAGTGGCTTTTAATTAGAACTAAACACTAATGGCAAATAAGTCCATCCTTTCCTGGCAAACTTGACAAAAATGGCACAAGCTATTAATTTTCATAGATGTTGAGTGGGTTGGCTTGGCTGTAGTTTCTCAATCCTGCAAAATGAGAGTCTACAGAGCTCCTCTACGAACAGACACACATTTGATTAAGAGCCAGAACTGTTCCATTACTGCCATGTTGTTAACTTGCTAAGACATCAACTCTCCTCTTCATCATCTGCGTTACTCTCACCAAATGTAGCTGTTTTCGTCTGACCGCTGCTCTGCCTCAGATTGGGATAAATTTAACATTCCCTAGATGTCCTGAACTAGCTCACGTAAATGTCCAAAACAAGCTTGGGTTCTTTTTCCCTAAGGTTACTCATAATTGGGCAATGAGCTAACATCTCATAGTTTGGAGGGCCCCACAAATGCCCTTTTTTGGAAAAAGCATCTGATTAGGGATAAGCGCAAAGACGACGAACCTGGAAAACAGAGTCCAACGGACACACATCATCAACTGAAACGTGTTCAAAAACCCTGAGAGCTCCTCAAGAGCACATGCTGATTCGCTGAACTCATTTGTAACCGGTGGGCGGCTGGTGACATCATGCGGTATCGCTTTTCACAGCACAACTCGATTTTATGGCTTAATAACCTTCTTGGATGAAACAAATCATTCTCGGGACTTCAGCCAAGAGCTCAGGACAAATTTTAAGAGTGGCTGAGATAGGAGAAGCGTAACAACGAGAGGTTTTGGGTTATATCTGAAGAAGTTTTATTAATGCTGTTTAAGGCTAAGGCTAGCACCAGTTTTGCTTGTATTTAGCATTAGAGATTTGAGAAAAAGTTCAACTTCGGTATGTAATCCATCCTGCACCATTTGTGCTGCAGATGTGAAGGATACCTCAAATTGAGTGTGCTATTAGACCATATGACATGCTATTTTAATGTACATGCTCTCATATTTTAGGTAGGTACAAATTTAGTTACAGCTAGAACAGTTTGTAATCATAGAGCAAAGATTATTATAGCCTCTTAGTTACTGTGCAAACAGAGAGGGCTGCATGTGTGTTTATTTTAGTGGACATAATATGTAATTCAGCATTTCAAATCTGAACCGTTTTTTAATGGCATCTAAGCAGCAATTCCATCATCCTCAGTCATCCGAGTTCATACCTTCTAAAGAGTTTCGTCTCCCATCGGCTCCCACCACCACATCAAAGTCGAAGTCGGCCACGGGATGATCCGCGGGCCGGATCTCTGCCCTCCAGCCCGGCCCTGCAGAAACACACAAATTCATTCAGCCTGAGAAATACAAATGACAAATCACAAATGAAGCCGTCCTTAAAGGAGTAGTTCACTTAAAAAGAAAAATTAGCCCATGATTTACTCACCTCAAGCCATCCTAGGTGTATATGACTTTCTTCTTTCAGACGAATACAAAAAAACTTTACAAAGTAAAATAACAAGCTTACATTCAAGCGAACATACGGATTCCACTAAAGTATAAGCGCAACTTATGTGAGTAATGCGACTGCTGATATTTACGCTACGCCATGACGCACTACGCTACTTCTGACGTCATAAGTTGCGCTTTAAACTGCGTATGGCCGTTTGGCCGAAAGCTAGAATTTGACTTTGTAGCGTGTTAAATGTGAATATTTTTCTTACACAAACTCATCGCTTCGCTTCAGAAGGCCTTTATTAAACCCCCGGAGCCATGAGGAGCGCTTTTATGATGGATAGATTCACTTTTTTGAGCTTCAATCTGATGGTGCAATCCACTGTCATTATAAAGCTTGGAAGCGTCAGGGTGTTTATTAATATAACTCAGATTGTATTCGTCTGAAGGAAGATCGTCATATACACCTAGGATGGCTTGAGGGTGAGTAAATCATGGGCTAATTTTCATTTTAATCTCCCCTTAATAATTCCTATAGTGCAATGAGGTCAAATGAAGAGCAACGTGTCACGCTTTTCAGATGTTTTCACTGAGAAAACAAACCTATATAATCTCCACGTGTTTCAGAAGAGATCTCAACAATGTCATTCAGCAAAAGTCTGAATCTTAAAGGGGTCATATAATGGTACATGCACTTTTACAAGTTGATTGTACTGAAATGTGTGTTGGCAGTGCCTGTACACAACCATCATAAAATGATAAAAATCCATCCAGTGTTTTTGTTTTAATCTCCTTATATGTTTTCCCCTGCCTCAAATCAAGCCGTTCGACCGTGTGACGTCACACGGTCGGAAGCCCCTCCCACGATTGTTGATTGACAGCATCGTTTCAACACAGACCCGCCCTCACTCGTGAGCGAGCTGTCAATCATAGTCTGCGCGGACCGGCGCGGTCATTGTTGATATGCTGGAGCACTGTCTATGAGCAGAATGGCGTCTAAGCGATTGTGGTGTTCTGTTCTTGGGTGTAATAACGAACACAGTCATTTTAGTGTTCCTAAATCCGAACCGCTGAAGACGCAGTGGCTGAGTTTGTTTTCGAAGGGAATATTCCCCACGAGCAACGTCAATGCTCTCATGTTTGCGCGAATCATTTCTCACCAGACTGCTTTATAGACGAGGATCAGTATAAAGCTGGTTTTGCTAAGAAGCTACTCATGAAAAAAGGATCGGTACCAGATATTCGTGTTCCTGCTGAACCTCCAGAAGAACTGAAGTGAGTGTAACGTTTTATTAAACTTTATATTAATATATTAATCTTTGCAAATCGCTAGCTGCACGCTTCACAATGTTTAACGTCTAAGGTTTACACTCAGGGTTCATTACGGCATGTTATCTATGTATGACGTTCTCAATATAATTCATAATCCCACGTTTATACTGAACAACGCGTTATGGTTATTGTGTTATTGAGTTACAAATGGTGTACGCACAGAACAGAGAGGCAGAGTCAGCAAAGCTCATTATCATTTAAAGTCATATACACTGAAACGGCGTGCTGAAAACAGAGCTGTTTTTGACCAGGTAAAATAAGTGTTTTCTTACAATACTAATGAGAATTTTTAATTAAAGTATATTACAAACTTTTAATTTAGACCCTAAAGAATCATATTAGCTTGTACAAAAATGGCATTATATGACCCCTTTAAACATGAACTCAAACATTTCTCATTATCTATATACACTCTTACCGCATACCAACAATTTATTTATTTGTTTCTATTTTTATTTCACCCAAAGAACTTTAGAAGAAGCATCTGAGAGTTGATACAAAACTGGGAAGTCTCCCAAGCTGTGAAAGAGAAACATCTGAGCAATATTTTTTTTCCTCAGGGGAGGACAGGAGCTGGGTGGAGCAACAGTACAATAAATACAAATATGAAAATATTTCAAAACGCTTTATCCAAGTTCACATCTGAGGGACCGTTCCTCGCTGTAAGTGAACCGTAGGTTGTTTTAAATAAAAATAATCTGCTAAATGGAAACAGATTTTTTGGAAACAGCTACATATTTCAACAAGACTAGCTAATGTTATTCATGTAAGCATTATGCAATCTTGCCTAGAACACTATGCATTCCAAAAACATATAGTCACAGCCAGCCATTCAGCTATTATTAATAAAAGCCAACCATCAATGTCACATGTTCAGAGTACAACTTAAGGGCAAATAAACCAGGACTGTCTAACGAATACAAGATCCAACTGAACTGTATCCAGGATCATGAGTAGCACTTCAAGGCCACAGTACAGGGTCACACCAAGCACTCATTCTTAATTTAGAAAGCTCTTTTGTTTTTATCAGCGTGCTGTCATTGCTTCTGAAGGGAGAGAGATGGATCGCTAATGGTCTAGAAGTTTAGAGGTCCAATCACAAGCTTGTTGACCGAAGCGCCCACATATGGAAACACGCTACCTCACAAAAGCCCTGGACCGATGAGATCTGTTTCTAATTACCACGATCAACTAATTGTTTCTTCATTTCTCTGATCTCTGTGTCGTTAAATGAGATTATGTTATGAGTGAACGCCATCCAAGCCCTGGAGTCATAAAATGACTACTTGGATGCGGGAGAGGAGAGTGATGTGGATTTGAACACTTTTCCATGGGCATTAAAATTGCATTAACAGCTCTGCAGGTGTTGTTTGGTTGTCATGGAAGCAGTTATTATATTGAGGCAGGAAGAACTCAATTCGTTCATCTTCCTGGTAATGACAGATTGGCCCTAAAAACCTTAAACCGCTCTGAAGAAAATGCTGTAACGCAGAGACAACAAAATCAAAAGAGCCAGAATACATCAACATTTCAATATGAAGCTTCAGGGACTTAATTTGTTACAATGTTGCATTTTCTTCTTGGTCCCATTCGCTTTCACAAGGCAACATTTCAAAGCGTACCAAATTGTGGTTATGCGAGTCACATGTGAGGAAAAACTGTCCTCTTATTTGTCAGAGTTTCCTCTGCATCATCCATCAAGACAGATTGACAAATCTGCCGAAGAGCTTATAGACTTTATCTGTAGTCTTATATGAATGTAGCCGTCATTCATGCTCTAACTGATAAATTATATATATTTATTATTTAAAATTATATATTGATAGTGGCTCCTTGACGCCCACAAGCTATATACAAGATAAATTACCCAACTATATAAAAGCATTCAAATATATTGTATATACTTCCATCTCATACTTTTTTCCATCACCATGTCCCTTTAGGGGCTCCGTAGAATGCTTAATTTCCTTTCTGAATATAGTATTCGGCTTTGGGCACATTCCTAATATATATATACTGTATACATATACACTCACCGGCCACTTTATTAGGTACACCTGTCCAACTGCTCGTTAACACTTAATTTCTAAGCAGCCAATCACATGGCGGCAACTCAGTGCATTTAGGCATGTAGACATGGTCAAGACAATCTCCTGCAGTTCAAACCGAGCATCAGTATGGGGAAGAAAGGTGATTTGAGTGACTTTGAACGTGGCATGATTGTTGGTGCCAGAAGGGCTGGTCTGAGTATTTCAGAAACTGCTAATCTACTGGGATTTTCACGCACAACCATCTCTAGGGTTTACAGAGAATGGTCCGAAAAAGAAAAAACATCCAGTGAGCGGCAGTTCTGTGGGCGGAAATGCCTTGTTGATGCCAGAGGTCAGAGGAGAATGGCCAGACTGGTTCGAGCTGATAGAAGGGCAACAGTGACTGAAATAACCACTCGTTACAACCGAGGTATGCAGCAAAGCATTTGTGAAGCCACAACACGCACAACCTTGAGGCGGATGGGCTACAACAGCAGAAGACTCCACCGGGTACCACTCATCTCCACTACAAATAGGAAAAAGAGGCTACAATTTGCAAGAGCTCACCAAAATTGAACAGTTGAAGACTGGAAAAATGTTGCCTGGTCTGATGAGTCTCGATTTCTGTTGAGACATTCAGATGTTAGAGTCAGAATTTGGCGTAAACAGAATGAGAACATGGAACCATCATGCCTTGTTACCACTGTGCAGGCTGGTGGTGGTGGTGTAATGGTGTGGGGGATGTTTTCCTGGCACACTTTAGGCCCCTTAGTGCCAATTGGGCATCGTTTAAATGCCACGGCCTACCTGAGCATTGTTTCTGACCATGTCCATCCCTTTATGGCCACCATGTACCCATCCTCTGATGGCTACTTCCACCATGTCACAAAGCTCTAATCATTTCAAATTGGTTTCTTGAACATGACAATGAGTTCACTGTACTAAAATGGCCTCCACAGTCACCAGATCTCAACCCAATAGAGCATCTTTGGGATGTGGTGGAACGGGAGATTCGCATCATGGATGTGCAGCCGACAAATCTGCGGCAACTGTGTGATGCCATCATGTCAATATGGACCAAACTCCCTGAGGAATGCTTCCAGCACCTTGTTGAATCTATGCCACGAAGAATTGAGGCAGTTCTGAAGGCAAAAGGGGGTCCAACCCGTTACTAGCATGGGGTACCTAATAAAGTGGCCGGTGAGTGTATATATATATATATATATTAGTGCTGTCAAACGATTAAAATATTTAATCGCATTAATGTCATAGTTAACTCGCGATTAATCGCAATTAATCGCAAATTTTTATCTATTCTAAATGTCTCTTGATTTCTTTTTGTCCCATTATTTTTTCTCATTTTAATGCTCTTATCAACATGGAAAAGTGGATCGGCTTGCTTTGTGCAAATGTTTTTTATTGAAAACAACATCGACATATTCTGTGTTCAATTTCACACAAACATTCTCACTTGGAGCAAATAATCTCTCACACAATGTAACACTGTCCATCAATAAAAGGCTGAAAGAAATACTGACGAGTTCCTGATATTGACGAGGGGGCGGAGAATTCGCATCAGCTGTGTGTGTGTGTGCTTGGCCATCATCAAGTGTTATTTCAGACTGGACGTGCTGCGATGATGATAGCTCAGTTCACAACGACAAAACACAGAGATCACTTTGGTCTTGTCAATGGAACCATTTTCTTATTGGCATCCATTTCGGCGTCTCGTGCTCGTCTTCCACTCAAAACGTAACGTTAACCAGCCTGTTGTTTTGTTTCCGGTCTAGCTAGATCCACTTGCCCTTTGGTCGACGAAGCAACAAAACGTCCTCGCGCGGCGCAAAGCCATTGAAATGAATGGGTTTCATAGCGCAGCGCCGCACATGCCGCGTCCTGTTGCAAAAGCATGTGAAAAAACTACAAAGTTTGCTAGGCCAAAAAGACCGTTAATCGTGCGATAAAAAAATTATACGTTGTTAATAACGCGTTTAACTGACAACCCTAATATATATATATATATTAGTGCTGTCAAAATTAACACGTTAACGCGTGCGTTTAATTTTTTTCGTTTAACGTGTTAATATATGTGTCATACTGTATGTATGTATATATACACTGAAGAAGCTAAAACATTAAATAGTTTTGTTAAAACATTTCTTGATCGCTGCATAATTCCCATACTTCCATTCATGTTATTTTATAGTTTTAATGACTTCTCTAGAATGTGTGAATAAACAATGAGAAGGGTGTGTCCAAACTTTCGACTGGCTCTAAACGACTGACTGCTAGTCGTGAGAACGATTGGTCTGGATCTGGGGTCCTCAGTCTCACCCTCATTCTCCTGGTCCTCTGGAGGCTCCACCAGCTTGACGAACTCCACATTAACGTGAAACTCCACACCGAGGAGCAGAGCAATCTTCAGGAGCATGAGCTGGAGCTGCCGAATGCCTGCCAAACCCAGCCAGAGCAAGAACCATTAGCCTCACAGTCACGCTAACACGGCATCGCTTACAAAAACACCAACCAGTAAAACTAACAGATGTGAGAACAGAAATATCATCATCGGAGTGGCAGGAGAGTCTTTTCACTTAGAGATTCATCCAAAAATGAACTTTCTATCATCGTCTCTGTTCCATACAGTGAAAATGGATTATGACTGGGGCTGTCAAAGTCTTAAAAGGACAAAAAGCAACATAAAAGTATTCCATATATGACTTATGTGCTATATTCTGAATCCTGAAAAGCCATTCGATAGCTTTGCGTGAGGAACAAAACTGAAATGTAAGACTTGACGACCACTGGTCATCATCCACTTTCACTGTATGGAAAGAGCAGCCTGGACATTCTTCTCTTCTTTTGTATTTCAGAAAAAGAAAAAGATATATTTTGCATTTGAGTGACAGTGAGAATGAGTACAACTATTTTGTTCATTGATGAAATATATGTTATAGCTTACCTCAAGGGCATCCAAGATGTAGGTGTCTTTGTTTCCGCAGTAGTTTCAATTTTGATATTTTTAGGTCAAACCGTTCTTGTCTGTCAGTCATATAATGCAGGTCTATGGTCACCACCTCAAAGAGCATGCACAGAGAAGTCCAAATTAAACATGATTTAATGACTCGTAAATGTAAGTACACATTGATGGCCTAAGACACAAAACGAGCGGTTTGTGTGAGAAAACGAACAGTATTTATATCGTTTTTACCTCTTGTAACCACAGCCACGTCCAAGTGATCTGAGGGCGCGGGCGCTTCGGTCTGTGCGTTACAAGAGGTAAAAACGATATAAATACTGTTCGTTTTCTCACACAAACCGCTCGTTTTGTGTCGTAGGCCATCAATGTGTACTTACATTTACGAGTCATTAAATCATGTTTAATTTGGACTTCTCTGTGCATGCTCTTTGAGGTGGTGACCATAGACCTGCATTATATGACTGACAGACAAGAACGGTTTGACCTAAAAATATCAAAATTGAAACTACTGTGGAAACAAAGACACCTACATCTTGGATGCCCTTGAGGTAAGCTAAAACATATCAAAAATTAATTTCAAAGTGAACTATCCCTTTAACTACAATAACCTTGCTGAGTTGTTCTTCAAATCATCAACCTATTAGGATTAAACAGTATAGATGTTATTTCTCTGTAAAAAACTTCGCACAATAGTCACATATCCTTCATGTGTAGATAAAGGAAGGGCTGTCAAAAAATGAAAAGGAGAACTAAGGAGGACTTCTGCTTTACACAAGGAAGTTTTGATAGGTTGCTTATAATTTGTTTAAATGAGCATAGAGAATGAGAAGCTGGTTCAGAACTCACTGATGTGGTCTATCGCTCCAGCACAGAACTTTCCATAGAATTTCTTGGCTCCTAAGCCCCTGAGGTCATGAATGGTGTAGGGCCAAAGATGCAGGACGTTGTTCCTGGAGAATGTATCTCTCTTCTCGATCACCACCACTTTGGCTCCGAGGAGAGCTAACTCGATGGCAGTCCGCACGCCACACGGGCCCCCGCCAATTATCAAGCACTGAAAGTTACATTTAGAGATTGAGAGAATTAGCAGGGCAAGAATTTAACCAAGTCACTATTTTCTTTCTTTTTTGAACATGAACATCAGTCAGGGAAAAAAAAGAAATTTGTAACAGTGACATATTTTGGTTTTTACCCCTTACCCCAACTTAATCAATCAGCCCTTTAAAAATTAAAGTAATAATAATAATTATAAATAATTTTTTTAAATATATATATATATATATATATATATATAAGTGCATGAATAATAATTAAAAAATAAATTAATTGCACAATGTAGAATAAAATGTATAAAACAGCACAGATAAAAGGAAAAATGACATAAATACATAGAATAAAGAGTTGAAAAAGAAAAGAAAAATTGAAATTTTCAGAAATAGCAGGTAACAACAACACAGAGATATAGGACATATTTGAGTTTTTTCCTCTTTTACACTCTCAGTCAGGGAGAGACAGGGACTCTAAACACATTATGACGACCTGAGGCTCTAAATATTACACGTTCATAACTAGCAATATTTGACTGAATGAGAATGAGATCCATTCAAGGTCACTATTTTCATTTAAAAACGGGGCGAGGTACGGGACAAAGGGGAGAAGATTTTGTTTTCACTGCATGCCTTTCAAATTCCACACAAGAAGGGAATAAAGATGTCTAAGACATTTCTTCCTCTATTAGACCTTTGTGCACTTTTTAATACCGTGAGTATTATTCTTAAACTCAAGGAGCCTATTTTACTCTACAGTGAGCAAACACTCTTTCAGGAAGTATCCTTGAAAGAGAAAATCTTAGCAAACAAGCTCAAAGAAAATGAAGCGCTAATGCAAATGTTTATCCAAACAACAGTGCCAATAACTGGAGGCGCGTGTGTGATTTCATCAACATTAAATCATAATTACAGTTCCGTCATATCAAAGGCATGATTCATGCATCAGGCTTGTACAGATGCGAGAAGTCAAGACGTCAGCTTCCAGGACGTGTCTGGGAATGCCTGCTGTGGGTATGACTTCATCCCCTCTGGTTTGGTGATGAAAGATCACTTTTTATGTGGAGAGATGATCTTCACACAAGACTAGTCACAGAAGAGAGCCACGTCTTAGACTTGCACTCGTGCAAAGCTTTACCTCATTTTTAATCCAGATGGTACAATGTGACCTTTTTTCTTCTAGATCTTTTCATTTCCCACGCACAGAGTCAAACACGACTTCAGGATGGTTAGTTGACCTCAAAATAAGGAAGCAATAGTGAATGCTTCCTGTCACAGTGTGTGTACAGTAAAGACTCTCAGCATGTGCTGTGATCAATATTGTGATACACTCGGGTTTCAGCCCCTCCTGATCCAGGAGCTTATCATGTTTTTATAGACCTCGATGTCTGTGTGTCCGTGGTGGCTATTTATAGATCCCAGCTTGCTAGAAGCACAGAAAATGTCATTAAAAGGCCTTCAGCTTACATTAATACAAAGTAAGACCGCTTTTGTTTGTTTGTTTGTGTGTGTGTGTACTTGTACAACTATCTTTGTGAGGACCAGTTTGAGTTTTAGACCATTGGAGTGAGGACAAAGAGAGTAAAGTGAGGACATTTTGGCCGGTCATCACTTTCTGAGACCCCTTTAAAGGCCTGTTTGAGGGTCAAGACTTGGTTTTAGGGATAAGGTTATAATTAGGATAAGGGTAGGTTTAGGGTAAGGGTTCGGGTTAAGCACTTAGTTGTGATGAGTAAGGTTAGGGTAAGCGGCTTGAGATTGAATTGTGTCAATGAATGTCCTCATAAAGATAGATGTACAAGAGTGTGTGTGTGTGTGTGTGTCCACCAAATGTCCCCACAAGGATAGTAATACCAGTACATTTTGATCTCACCGGAACATTTTCAGGTCCCCAATGAGGAAAACAGCTTATAAAACACACTAAATGAAGTGCAGAAGTCTTAATCTGACATCCCCCTGGGGACAGCAAAAAAGATGCAATGATTCATAGACTAATTTTTATTCTAAAAGTGCAAACAAATGTTAATCAGCTTTAACTAATACAATAAAAGGGCATCTATCTCATTCATATAGCTATGTATTAATGTGTATTTGTGTCTTTGTAAATAACATGGTTGAAAGTATCAATAGCAGTATGTGTCTTTTAGTTTAGACATGTAAATTTAGGTATGTCCTCAAGATGGAAAGTGTACTGTGAGTTACAGAATTGAAAGCATTAATGTGTGTGTTGAGAGTATCATCAGGAGTCTACAGTATGTATATTTGTAGATAACAGGACAAAATGTACCAATAGCACTGTGTAACAGAGTTGAAAGTATCAATAGAAATTGTGTATTTTTAATAAACCATATTAGCTGAGCAGTGGGTCTCACACTGCTCAGACTGAGGAACGGCTCCAAGTATTTACCACAGAATCCGGTAGTGAAACCACTACACAACCCCTGAAAACAGCCCAAAAATGTATAAGGAGGTATTTAAAACGAACTTTTCGTGTCAACTTTTATTTAACTGCTGCCCAATGTGAGACTCCATTTACTCTGAGAGTCATTCTGTGAAGCGGAATGCAAATTTAAAGCAAATTTTACAGATTTGATTTATTTTCGAAGACAATTAATAGATTTCAGTGTTAAAAAAATTGCACTGTGAATGGAAATATGTTATTTATCAGTGCTTCAGGTATGAGGTTAATATCTGTTACTCAAAAGTACACACAGTCCTATTGATGATTTCAACCATGTTACTCACAAATATACAGACACACTCCTATGATACCTGCCATTTGGCTGCTTAAAAATACACAATTTCTATTGATACTTTCAACTCTGTTACTCACAGTCCTACTGTATATTGATGCTTTCATCTGTTCTACTGGATGGACCAGTTACCACCAGCACAGACTGACAGGCCAGGTGCACTGTCTCTGTTTGACTTTACCTTAACTAAAAAGCCACAGAGACTGAACAAAGGCAGCCTATTCAGAACAGACACAGAGGCACGCAAGCACTGCGGAGAGAGGATTTACCATCCCCACAGACCAATGAAACGCTCCATCAGTCAGAGCAGATATGAACACAATGATCAGCCTTTTGTTTCTGCTCATTCACACCCTGAAACTGAGCAGAGCAATAGTCCAGAGGTGAAGTTTGCTGGTGAGTCAGCATGGCGTGTTTCCCGTCCATCAGTGGGTGCTCAAAATCAGAAACTAACTTTTTTTAGGTGTTTCTTTTCTTCTTTTCTTTTTCACAATAATTGCCCATAATTAGGAAAAATAACAGATGACAGCTTTTTCCCCCCGAATGAAATCAAATTGAGTGAAATAATCGTCCTTCAAATAGTAAAAACATCTGAGACAAATGTAATACTAAAATGAATTATAACTGAGAACCGAGTGGTGAAAAAACATCCTTTGAGCAATAAAAATCCTATTTTTCTAAATCCAGCCAATTACTGTACAAGGCCAGCTGCAAAATCCCTTCACACCGCTGCCACTTCAGGATGGTTCAGCCTCTTTTAAATCATGGAAAAGTCTGCAGGATAGGAATTGACGGCATGACCTGCCAGATGAAACTTCCTGGTGAAAGCCACGGTATGTGTTGAACCAACAGTCACTTTACACAAAGCCCAGAGGAACAGAGACCACCTCATGGCAGGACCCATAACTTGAACCCAGACACACTTCTTCTAACACACAATGTGATCACAGTTTGCTCAATTAGACATCACACCACTTAGAGAAAGCTGCTCGATAGACTGAAGCAGACCACCAGGAGAGAAGCCTGGACTCACAAGCATTCAGGCCTGTATGAGAATAAAATCATCTAAGGATGGCGAAACGGACTATAACTCTAGTCTAGCGGAACAGAAGTCCTGGTAATGCCACTGTATGATTTGTTTACATTGCCCAAGCAATCATAAGTCATAAAGTCACAGCTGTAAGCAGACTGCACACATGCTCAAACACACACGAAGAGAAGAACTTGACTTTCCCAATGTGAAAAACAGTGCCTCTTTGCGTGGGCTCGCGGAGTCTGGGTCTGGGTCTCACACTGCTCAGACTGAGGAACGGCTCCAAGTATTTACCACAGAATCCGGTAGTGAAACCACTACACCACCCCTGAAAACAGCCCAAAAATGTATAAGGAGGTATTTAAAACGAACTTTTTGTGTCAACTTTTATTTAACTGCTGCCCAATGTGAGACTCCATTTACTGAGTCATTCTGTGAAACGGAATGCAAATTTTATAGATTTGATTTATTTTCTACGACAATTAATAGATTTAAGTGTCAAAAAAATTGCACTGTGCCATCTCAAACGAAAATGAATAAATACTAATAATATACATTTTGACACTATACCGTTCAAAACTTTGGGGTTAGTAAAAATGTTTACAGAAACTTTTATTCAGTAAGAATGCATTAAAATGATAAAATGTGACAGTAAAGACTTTTACATTATTACAAAATTGTTATATTTCAAAGGCTGTTCTTTTAAATTTTATTTTCAAAGAATCCTAAAAAAAAAAAAAAATGTCATGCTTTCCACAAAAATATTAAGCTATATTAAACTGTTCTTAAAAATTAAATATATATATTAAATATATTAAAACAATATTATACTGTTTTTACTATATTTTTGATCAAATAAAATGCAGCATTGTTGAGCATAAGATACCATACAGCAATAATAAAAGAAAACTAGCACATCTAGAATTACTCATAATCAATTCTAATCAAAACTATTCCAAAAAGTTTTGTAATAATCACTGATCCTAATTTACATATATGTTAATAAAAATGAGACCGGAAACAAAAATACCACGGAATGAAAATACAAAAATCACTCACTGCCCGGAATCTACAGAGTTAAAACTATTTTCACATGTCTAGCCTGAATGTCTAACGTTTCAGATAAAGGCTCTGATTGAGTCTCAGCAATGGTAATAAAGCCAGAATAAAACAATAAAACAGGCAGCGGCGGGCTGTCCCGCTGGTTGATAAAGAGAGAATG